GAGTCGGCGACGCGGACTCCGCCGGAGGGGGTCATTTGCCAGGCGCCGCTGGAGACCATGACGCGGCTGGCGATTTTGAGAATGTCGTGGTTGAAGAGGTTATCTAGAACGCCGTCGGTAGCAAACATGAGCACGTCGCCGTGGCGGACGTAGTGCTGGGAAACGTCTGCGTCGCGAGGCAAATCGCTTAATTGCGCGCCGCCAAAGGCCGCCATTCGTGCAGCGACGCTTGGTGGGATGAGGGATAACTGAAACGGGGTGTTGAATGCGTGGGTTTGCGGTTCTGAGTAGGCGTTTACGGCGTTGAGACGAAGTTGTAGGAACCCCGAGTCGCCCAGGTTGGCTACGTCCAGCGTTCCGTCTGGGGCTGCTATTCCGACGCAGGCCGTACTACCTCCAGCCTGTAATGAGCGGTCGTTGCACACGGCGTCGTATCCATGTTGCATGAGTCTCCTCGCTGTCAACGGCGGGCTGTTCGCCGGATCGTGCTCGTATGCCGATGCGGCCATGTAGTCGCAGAAGCCATGCGAGAAGTCGGCCGGGTCGACGCCCGAATCCACCCAGCCGCCGACGCCGTCTGCGATACCGAAAGCTACGGATCCAGAGTCGTTGATGCGGCTGACGAAGAAGGCGTCGTGGCCCGAGTCTGGCCGGGAGGAGCGCCGCCGGTGACGGGGCGGTTGGATTCGGTTGTATGGGTTGAAGTGGAAGACGTGGGTCGATGGGTCGTAAGGTCGGTCTTTGCCGATGAAGGAGGCGGCGATGTGGTATGAGAATCGGGGGGACGTTGGGAACGATGCTGAGGATGTTGAGTATGGCGATTTTCGCGGAGCGTCTGGTGTTGGCTGGCGCATGGCTAGCGCGTAGGTGTGCGTTGTATAAGTAAGAGGAGAGACTGGCAAACCGCAGACAGCGTCAGCTCGGTTCATCTTTATCGAAGAAAATACCATAAAACACGAGAAAAGCACATTCGGTTGCCGTTACCTCTAAGTGATGCCCGCCATGGTGTTGCGGTCGCAACCCTGGCGCTCAATGCAGCCATCTGGGTTGGGTAAGAAGATTTTTGACGCACAAGTGTTTGGCGTGGGAATGCGCGACGGCGTAGCCCTTGGAACAACAAGGATATGCTCGTGCGATTGCCCAGCTGCCTGCAAGCACTTAGATGAGAAGAACCGCCATGATGGGTCTGGTGAGAATTTGCATCGACGTCGCGCGCGCAGGGGCTAGGAAAATCTGGGGAGGCGAGATATCAACTGTCTGGTTGAAGTGGTCTTGTCTGGCTGGTCGATTGATAATTGATTGCGTCGGCGCTGTAACTTGGTTGGAAAGCCCTGGGGGCCAGGGATTACAGGTGGCTGCTGTCATGGGATAGGGAACCGCTTGGGGGGTTACAGGCCTCCTTCCTGACATCACCAGGCGATTGCCTGCACGTGGCGTCAGTCGGTCGACCCCCCATCGAGCATGCCGTGCAACCTTGCGAGTTCGTAGTGGGGCCCAATTGCAGACTTGCCTTACCTAATGCCACTTCCCCGGAACCCCGGACCCCAAGACCTACCGTGGGTGCTGTGGCCATGAAATTTGTTACCCGCCTTTCACCCGGCGGTCACAAGCCTCTTCCCGGCTTTCTCCTTCTTAGCCGAATTGACAATGTCGCGGCCCTGATTGGCCGCCGGATACTTTACGGTCCAGCGTCCCAGTAGCCGAGGATGGCTACTAGTACTTTCGACTCCCAATTTCATGGGCGAACACACACCAACATTCTACGTCTCTGTCCAGCTCCAACGGCGCGATACGAGCGGCGGAAATCCGGAATCGTTGGTGCCAATTGAACAAGTCCGTCCCAATTTCAGCAGCGGTTGTCGCTTCAACTCTCTTCTCTGCTCTCTGCTCTCTTCTCTCGTCGCTCGCCGACTTGCCTTTTCCACGTCGCGAAAATGGCTGCTCTCCGCTCTACTTCTTCCCGAATCCTTGGCTCGTCCATCAGGACAGCCATGCGCCCTGGCGCTGTCTTCACACGCTCAATGGCATCTGTCAGCGAGGCCCCTCATGAGAAGGCTCCGAACATGAAGACATTCCAGATCTACCGATGGAATCCCGACACCCCTACCGAAAAGCCTCGAATGCAGTCCTATACCATTGACTTGAACAAGACTGGACCCATGATCCTGGACGCCCTCGTCCGTATCAAGAACGAGCTCGACCCTACTTTGACCTTCCGAAGAAGTTGCCGTGAGGGGATCTGCGGTAGCTGTGCCATGAACATTAACGGCCAGAACACCTTGGCCTGCTTGTGTATGTATTGCCACATCATGTGCTGCACTCATAATATCCCAGACTTGTCTCAGCTTGTGCAGGAGGCAGACATAATGAAGCTGACCACCATTGTACAGGCCGAATTCCCGCCGAGAGCTCTAGCGACGTCAAGCTGTATCCACTGCCTCACACCTACGTCGTCAAGGACCTCGTCCCCGATTTGACCTACTTCTACAAGCAGTACAAGTCTATCAAGCCTTATCTGCAGCGCGACACTCCTGCTCCTGACGTAGGTTGAATTTCTCGGCAGCCGTGGGGGAAAAGAATTGGTTTGGCTAACGATTTCCCAGGGCAAGGAATACCGCCAGAGCAAGGAGGACCGAAAGAAGCTGGACGGTCTGTACGAATGCATTCTCTGTGCCTGCTGCTCAACATCCTGCCCTTCATACTGGTGGAACTCAGAGGAATATCTCGGACCTGCTATTCTGCTCCAATCTTACCGATGGCTGGCCGACTCCCGCGACGAGCGCAGTGCCGAGCGTCGTGCCAACCTGGAGAACAACATGAGCCTGTACCGCTGCCACACCATCCTCAACTGCACCCGTGCCTGCCCCAAGGGCCTGAACCCCGGCAAGGCTATCGCCGAGATCAAGAAACAGATGGCATTCGCGTAAGCGGTGCGAAGGTTTCTTCTTGAATGGATATGAATTGGTGGAGGCTTCATTTATTTTCACTTTGTCAAGGTGTCTAGGGCTGTTCCGGCGGAATCAAAACGGTCGTAGATGTGGCGGTATAAGGAGGGGATAAACATAGCCCCTGTGTACAAGCATGAGTAGTGTACGTCTATGTCGATAGGCAGCAGCAACTTGGAGAATTTTTTTTTTCGTGTTCATATAACCAGCACGTCTTTTTTTGCCCTACGAGCCTCGCCGTCCTTGGTCTGCAGTCTCGGCAGACAAGCGTCCCAGATGTATCGAGTGAGCTGTTGGTAGCACATTTGATTGTTTTAAGCGACGTGTATATGTCAAGTGTTGCCGCCAATAGCCACATCCATGTTGACAGAAAAAGGCCAAAAATATGCCCACGCACTAGGTACTTCCTCAGAGGCACCTGAGGAGGTGACGGTGTGGCAACAGACGAGGTCGCTTCAACGCCGTATGCTCCCGATGTCGTTCTCAACTCCCGCGCAGGTGGCAATGAGTCTGACACGATATTGCAGTAAAAGACAAGATTATCTGGTGGATGTACAAAATCTGGCATCGAAACGCTTCTTGTTGCTGACGGCTTGTGCAATACAATCTAGCTGGTTCATCGAAATATCGCGCGATGAGAGAGGAAACCGTCGCCGACAAAGAAGCACGCGCGCGCAGTGGAACATGTCTACAAAGGTGCGATCATCACCGTGCAGGACGTAGGGTCGAAGAGTTGTTTCCGTCCCTATATGTATGCTTGCCGCCGCTTCGGGACCGCTTTATCGACTGGGCAACCGGCGCGTCTTGTTTGATCACCCTTTGATAAGAAATAGTCGGGACTCGGGTTGCTGGTTCACGTGCTACAACGTGGTATGTATGTCGAGATTGGAAGCTATGGATGGCATGAATATGGACATGTCATCGATTGAACCCACCCACCTTGGAAAGTGACAATTGGAAAGGACAGATTTGTTAGCTACCTTAGGTAGGTAGATAAGTTCGCTAGCCAGCTTCTACATTAAGCTTACAAGCTACTTAGTAGGTTGAGCGGCCTAGACACGAGGCCCAGATAATGAATCACTCGTTGGCATAGCACCATTTAGTTATGTGATGATTCTTAGGTTTTTGCGGCGCGTGTAGCCAGTTTGATGCTCATGTTGGTCCGGGGAGTCTGATAGTAGATTCGCCCCTGGGAGATATATAAGTCTGGTCGATCCTGCACTTTGTGCCAGGCACCCCATTTTCTGATGCATTTGTGTGCTACTACAAAATTTGATTTGACCACACAAGATGAAGTTTACATGCACTCTAGGGCTTTTGGCCCTGGGAGGCGTTGTTGCCGCGTCTCCCCATGCAGAGAGTCCTCAACGACGGTGTAACACGGTATGTATTGAAGGGGTCAACGGTTGTGGACAGATGTGGGCAAAGTAAGAATTCTCCTTCTCTTTTCTTCGTTTGTCCCAAATAAGAGCATTTATATGTTGTTGGGTTATCACACATTTCGTTCTTCCTGTTCCTGCTATTTACTCAACTTGGCTGACCAAATGAAGGTGTTATGACCCATGCAATCAGCAACCGCCTGTCGGTCCAAAATGCACGACAACTCGAAGAACTAGCGCGTCCACAACTCATACGTCCAAGACTCGCACGTCCAAACCTCACATGCCCAAAACTCACATGTCCATTCCTTCCGCGCAGCCTACTGCCGGGATGTAGATGACTGCAAGACTCTGACTATTTGCGCCGATGCCGAAAATAAATGTGGCGTGCGGTACGGGGGCGGGCAGATGTTATTAAGACGGTTGTTTCCCAGCTTAGCAGTCTAGGTGTGCCCCCGATTATCGGCCTCGACTATTATCAAACCTCGTCCAAGCTTGATGAGGACCTCAAGTGCGCCTGTTCGGGTGGCGGCTACAACTGATGCTTAGGATGGTGTGTGGATGACGGGTTGGTGAGAGGAGTAGTGGTGGCAACACACGAAGGGTTGAACCGTGCCAGGATAGTTAGATGATGATTAGTGAATCGAGTAAGGTGAAGTTAGCCCTGATATTATGGCTAATAGTATGCGTTCCCGCTGCCGCTGCGATTCACGCCATAATCTGCTGATGTCCCTGGGAACGCGCCAGCCGGTGCGGACGGTCCCTTGGCGTCATCATCCGAGCTCATATCACCGAGATCATCTTCTCTGTCGGGCAATGACCGCATGGCTTCCAAAACATCTCGATCCAGCGTAGGCGGTTGATATGATTTGACGGTATGGATCTCTCGGCCAGACGGCATTTTGGGCAGGAGAGTGCTGACTGGCGGGATGGCCTTGGTGTTCATCTAGGGAACGTGTTAGCTCGCGAATAATGATAAGATTTCTGTGGCATACTGACAGTGTCATTGATCTTGTTCCACTTTTCGTCAAGCAACTCAATGATCCTCGCCTCCTCAAGCCTACCTGCATCCGAACCCCAATCCGTCTCCCTTTCCACACGACGATCCTCCCGCTTTTCACTTATATCCTTCTTCAACCGGCTCAGACTGAAGCCCTTTTTCGCCTCCTTGGCCTCGATACCTAATTCCTGCAAACCAACCCGCAGCCAGCCAATGCCTTCGGCGGTCTGCCCACCTAGGTCGGCGTCGATGCCGAAAAATCGGCAGGCCTTTGCTCTACTTGTGCGACGCAGGTCCTCCAGGTATTTCAGAAGCACTGGGTTCACCTTGCTGGAGCCAGAGCCGGCAGATTGTAGCAGTGAGGAGGCCTTGGCTGCATGGTCAGACGCGGCGAGACAAAGGCGAGCAAAAAGATGGGCTCGCACTTTGGGAATATCGGGGGCCTTGAACATCCACTCCTTATCCGTTTTGTTACGGTCCTGGGCTACCGCTGCCGGATACGGATCATCTTTGAGCACGGCTAGCAGTGTCGCTTCTGCCAGAGCTAGCGACGACAGCGCCCCCGCGGTAGTAGGCGCAACATCTGCGCATGGTGCCGTGCTGGAGATTTGCTCGCTCCGTAACGAGAGGTAGTCGTAGATTGACGCGGCGTCAAGTAGGTGCTTTGTAGCCGCAGTGATGGCAGTTGTCCTCTCTTTGGTGCCCAAGAAACTCGTCGTGGTCATGTACAACGGCTGCAACGTCGACCTGGCTGTCAAGGTATACGCATATGCCAGCGAAGACAAGACAAAAAATATTTCATACTCCAACGAGGTGATCTTTACACGGGGTCTTTCTCTACCGGGGACAATGTCGCCGGACAATGTTGGCCTCCAGCTGATGGATGGCGCCGTCTTCAAGACAACGCTTATGACCTCACCACCGTCCAAGCACTGTGAGCTCACACCGGCGTCCACGGCGAGCAGATACGGCAGATAGCCGTCGATGCTGGAGATGACGGCGGCTAGACTTCGAATGCGTGTATTCGGCGGCGATCGTTTGTGCTTCTTCAGGGCATCTCTCACGACCCCTCGTTGGCCACTGGCGGTCAATGGCAGCGAGGGGTGTGAATCACAGCTGAAACATGAGGAGAAAGAGAATGAGGATGTCGTGGGGAGAACAAAGGGAAAGGGCATTTTGGGCGAGGCAGATTTATGGAGGGCGCCTCTGCCGGTGGTTAACGAGGCTCAGAAATTCGGACAACATCGAGAGCGAAGGCGAGGCAAAGGGTCTCCTATTGGCGTGGTGGGAATGCAAAGTCTTGGCCTCTCAGGATTGATGCGAGTTGCACCGTTTCTGGGGGAGCAGCTCGCACTATGCGCACTACGTCGTTCGTCGTCCGGAGCTTGAGCTGCTTCTAGAAGCACCGGACATTTTGCTGCTGTGTGCGGCGCGCATTGAACAGCTTGACCAGAGGACCGGATCCAACCAGGCATTTGAAGACCAGCAAGGCACGAGCTCCACCCACATCAATCATCCATGAAGCCACATTCATCGTGCTCCGACCACCACCCCTTCTCCAGATGAGCATCACGAGTGCCGTCCCTCATTGACCCCGTCTGCGCCGTCGCCGTCACCATGGCAGGGGCAAGTCCTTCACCTCACAAGCCCAGGCGCAAGCTCAAGCAGGGCAATGGCAGCGACAAGCCTGCCCGGGCGAGACCTGAAGCTTTGGTTCGAGCGCCGTCCTTCCCCCTGGCGGCGTTTATGTGGCCGGCCCGGACGTCGTCTACACAATGGGAGGTGTTGCCGGTGATTTTGATGGTAGTTGGCTTGTTTCGATGGGCCGCAGGACTCTGGGGGTATTCTGGTGAGCTGACGCAATGCAAACTACATGGTTGAACCCGCGTGGTGCGAGACTAACTGCGCAGGCTTCCAACGCCCTCCCATGTTCGGTGACTACGAAGCGCAACGACACTGGATGGAGGTGACGGCTCACCTTCCCATCTCACAGTGGTATTTCCACGACCTGCAATGGTGGGGGCTCGATTATCCGCCTCTTACGGCATACCACAGCTGGCTCATGGGCAAGATTGGGTGCTTGATTGAGCCTGCTTGGTTCGCACTCTTTACCTCTCGAGGCTCCGATGACCCAACCCTCAAGATTTTCATGAGGGCAACCGTCATCATCTCCGAATATCTTATTTATATCCCCGCCGCTGTCGTCTTTGCTCGACGATACAGCAGACTGAGTGGCGTGGCTACCTGGACCAGTTCCGTCGCCCTTGTTGCTATTTTAATGCAGCCCGCCACGATCCTCGTTGACCATGTCCACTTTCAATACAATACAGTTATGCTGGGTCTTGTTCTCGCCAGCATTAACAGCATGTTGGCCGAAAGATACAAATGGGCCGCCGTCTTTTTTGTGGCCGCGCTTGGCTTCAAACAAATGGCCCTTTATTATGCCTTCTCCGTGTTTGCCTACCTCTTGGGCAAATGTGTCCAGCCAAGAATCAACATAATGCGACTCACTGGCATTGGTCTGGTTACGATTGCCTCATTTGCAGTTCTGGTCCTGCCCCTGGTTATCGGCACACTGTACGATAGGCACCGAGGAATCGACTCATGGCCTGATGTGGACGGACCGCCGCCACCGCTTCCACTGTTCCCTTTTGTTGCCCAATATCTTGATACCCGCTCTGCTCTTTATGCTATAATAGAGCAAATGATTCAGATGGTCCACCGTATCTTCCCCTTCTCCAGAGGATTGTTCGAGGACAAAGTAGCCAATTTCTGGTGCGCTATGAATGTCGTCGTTAAACTTCGCAATCTCCCCACCGACCTGTTGCAGAAGGCTGCTCTCGGTGCCACGCTCCTGTCCATTATCCCACCGAATCTGGTCCTCTTTATCCGGCCAGATAAGAAGCTGCTGCCGTTGGCGTTTGCTGCCACTGCCTGGGGTTTTTTCTTGTTCAGCTACCAAGTCCATGAGAAGAGTGTCCTCCTTCCTTTGATGCCAATGACTCTGCTGCTGGCTGGAAAACAGGGACTCAACGGCGACACGCGATCATGGGTTGGGTTCGCCAACCTTCTCGGGGCTTGGACGATGTTCCCATTGCTCAGCAGGGTAGATCTAGCCGTGCCATATACTGTTTTGACGCTGTTATGGGCATACCTAGTCGGACTGCCCCCGACATGCTGGACCGCTCCGTTCATGGAGGCCGGGCCTGCGCCCAAGCAGTGGGCAGTTGCTATTATTCATTCTTGCTTCTATATATTCATGGGCGTTTGGCATGTCGTCAACGCCATTGTGCCCCCGCCCGCTGATAAACCGGATCTATGGGTGGTGGCCAATGTCGGTGTCGGTTGCGCCGGTTTTATGCTGTGTTACTTGTGGTGTTTCTGGAAGTTGCTGGTAGACAGTGGCCTTGTGGCATGGCAGTCGCCAAAGACGAAGACGCAATGAATTCGTTGTACTATGAATATCATATAGAGGATAGAGCAGGTGACATATAGACACTTGCAATAAAATTCGGTTGGTAGCCATTGCGTGGCAAATTATGCCGAAAGACTCTTGAGATGCTAATAATGTGTTGAACAGAATACTACACACTAACTTGTCTTATGGGGTACACAGCTTCGACCCTAACACTTTCGTCCCGTCAAGTGTTGGTTGCGATTCTCTTTCAAACTCCAGCGTGTACGCACAACTTGGCCTATCCGAGAACCTGCAACCAAAGGCTCCGCAAGTAACAGTGATTCACAGGATGTGATATTTTAAATCGCCTAGTTTTCCGCCGCATAAGGCAAATCCAGCCGCTACAACAGTATAGCCGAGTGTGCAAACACTCTGTCTCGTCCGCGATCCAGGCTAATCGCCCAAGTTGCTTCGCTTCGAGTCCCAGCATGTCAAACTTGATGGCGCAGGCACGAGGGCCACGCTCGGATCGAATAATCTTCTTTGTCTGCAATCCCTCAAGGGCCTCGGAAAATAATCTACACTCGCCTCGCCAAACAAAGAAGCTCGACGACCAACATGACCACATGAAGACGGCGGCTTCACCTACAACGAGTTTCCTTCCCACGCCTAGACATGCTCCCATTTCGCACTTCCCAGACTTGTCTCGTGGGGATCCCCGCCTCTTTCTTTTTATTGCTTCTCGTTTCGGGCAATTAATTAGTATCCCTGCAACTGCTCCCACGGGTTTCCCCCGTAACCGGGCTGTCGGCTCGGGGGCCCCTGGGTGATCTGGGCGCGGCAAGATAAAGTGCTCGCAGCTTTGGCGGCTGTCTGGACGAGGTGGGACGCGGCATTGTTTTCCCATACAGAGGCGTCGAGGGATAGAAGCCCAAATTCCTGTATTTTTAGGGACGCATGTCCACAGTGGCGGCGGATGAGGCACGTCCAACCTCAGCCTTGGCTTCGGCTCCAGCGACGTTTGGGAACGTGAGCCTTTGCGTTTCCTGTTGCCAGATTGTCTAGAACCCCCTTCCCGTGGGTGGCAATGTGTTTGCCTAGATTGAAGATGTGAGGATTGTTCCACAGCAGGCCTTTGTTGCTGGTTGCAGGATGAAACATTTGATCTTGGCGATCCGCCCCGGGGGCCGAGAGAGTTCGTGGAGGTTTGAGCATGGGGGTTGAGACGATTCGGAGCGTGGCCGGCGTAATAGCAGCGGGATGCGGCACTATGTCGTTTGTTGGTTCGCCATGTCCAGCGTGCAGGCTTGTCCGTGGTGGTGTGACGAAACGGAAGACGAGGCTGTCGTGGAATATACAGCCTACGGTGATATCAAATACTCGTAGACAGGGCACCTCCGTGGCCACGAGGCTGTCCGTATACTTGCGCGCGTCTGGTCATGTCGCCCATCACCGTCCCCCTCCTGCCTGTTCCTGAGACCCCGTATCACGATCCCATCAACACCAGACATTGTCCCGCGGCGCAATTCATCCCAGCCCCCTCGTCTCGAATGGGGCCTCGAAAACCCCCATCCGGCAATCTCACGATCCATGGAGCCGTGGCTGCAATGCAATGCAAAGCCCACTTCCCTTCCCCCCGGGTCCCTCTCCACGCGGTTCATGCCATGCACCGGTCCCGCTTGCGCATATGTACGTACGTACGTATGTATCCGTCCTGGCTGAACAAGCGCCCACGCGGGAATTAAGACGCCTCGAAACGAGGCTAGTCGACTTGCCGTTTCCGGCTTTGTTGCTGGCTGCTGGTCTGAGCTTCCTCACGACTAGGGCCCGTAACAAAGGGAAGAAGGCTGATGAGTTGCCTCCCCCACGGCACTGGTTCCTGGCGACCGTTGGGAAGGGCTTCATATGCATGTACTTGGGGACTCTGAAACCAATCAAAGGTGTGAAACTGCGCGTTGACCATGTGGATTTCTCCTCTCTCTGGGAATCTGGATGCCTCGAGGAAGACCAGGGGAGGGGGATGGTGGATTAAGCGAGAGAGCGTTGAGGTTATATAAGTCCAAGTCTGCTTTGCTGCCAACACGATGGCGGTTCTGGATTCCGCGTCGAGAGTGTAGCTTTGTGCGTTTTTCTCTTCTGTTAATTACCTTCAGCAAGTCTCATTTTTTCAAAACCCATACCCAGGTCGCTTATAGTTGGCGCTGGCGCGGAGCAACATGGCGGCTTTTACTTTACTCGTGCAGTTGCTGCTCTCCATTGCTGTGCTGGGAGATGCGGCCCATGCGAATGGATTGTCTACAAGTGACCATTCTGTATCACATACAAGCCTGCTACCTTTAATATCTTCATTGCCGGCTTCAGAAACAACATACGATGTTGTGCCACGCAGAATACTAGAGAACGAGGTGAGATACTTGGATCCCTGAGAGTCTCGGGCCTGTTACTAACCGCTCAAGTATATACAGATTCGAGACGCGGCCGGGTCTCTGACAACGCCTGCACTGCTGCCAAGGCACACGAGCATGCGCATGGTAGGCACCGCCGCAAACGCCTGGTTCAACCCGCAGAGTGAGAGAAAAGACTCGTATGGCGGGATTTGCTTGGTGGTCATCGCCGTGGGAGTGGCAGCATCCGTAGTGGTTCTGGTAGTTGCGTCGGTGGCAGTTTTCTGCATCAGGTGCAAGCGTTGCACGACAAACGTCTTGTCAGCCGTGGAGGAACAGAAATGGCCCAAGTCCACAATGGTGTACGAGGCGTATCCCCCTTGGCTGCTCAAGATACCCAAGCAGCCTGAGCAGCCGCAAGTCCCGGTACTGCAACGGGGGCAGTCTTGGACGTCGACGAGCACCATGGCAAACAGCCAAAACGATGCCGTCTCCCCAATGGACCCCCAGACATGGGACGGCGCTCAGCACACTTGGTATGTTATGTCCCGGTGAATTGTCGATATTGGTGTTCCCAGTCACTGACATGCTTTACAGCCAGGTTTCGCCTACAGCCACGTACATGTCTCCTGTGGGATATCCGACAATGCAGGGCCATCAAGGCGCTCCGCAGTGGCAGCCGCCCGCAGAATTACCCACGACGCCAGATCCTGGAAATACGCCGCTGCCGAGTTATCCTGCTACCATGGCAGATGCTCATTTGCCGCCGAGATTTTCGTGGACAGGAGAGGAGGAGGCGTCTTATCGGCCGTCATCGTGGATGAAGCGGTAGCGGAGAGTCTTGATTGTATTTTTATTTCCATTGCATCTAATTTGTTGCATTAGCGAGGCGTTGGGATTCATCTGGCACGGTACCTTAATATTGGGGGAAAGGGGGGCAGAATGTAATCATCATCACATAGGTTTCATCACATGCATCGAAATAGGGAAATAATTTCAGAAAATTGCCAGTCGTAAATTCCATGGACCGAGGTCTATCACGCCCGTGTTATAAAAACCGCACGCCAGCCCAATCCACGGGCCCAATCCCCCTACGCCAGAGACATTGAAGAACCGTGGCACTCCCCGACCTGAACTTTTCCGAAATTCGTGCGACGTCGTAACCCTGCAGGCTTGTCCGCAGAAACCGCTTAGTCGAAGAGACCGAAGCCCATGTCCTCATCGGACTCCTCCTTCTCCTCCTCCTTTTCCTCGGCCTTCTCCTCGGCAGCAGCACCACCGGCGGCAGCGCCACCAGCAGCGGCGGCACCGCCAGCACCGCCAGAGGGAACGGAAGCAAGCTTCTCGGAACCGGCAGCAATGAGCTGTGGAAATGGTTAGTATAACATGGCTAAACTGGGTGCCAGGGCATATAAGAATTGGTTCATACCTCGGAGACGTCCTTGCCCTCAAGCTCGGAGAGGAGAGTCTTCAGGCGGTCATCGTCAGCCTCAATACCGACGGCGGAGAGGACGTTCTTAATGTCCTTGGCCGAAGGAGAGTTGTTGCCAGCGAGGCCGAGGAGGAGGTAAGCGGCGAGGTGCTTCATTTTGAATGTGGTGACTATTATAGAAAACTTGTCAGACTTTGAGCTCGACTTTCAAGCAATATGTGATTACCGCGAGGGGAGCAATGCGCCAGAATTGATAATGGACTCGTGCTATATTGGGACGGTTTGGACTCACAGGTTAAGTGTCAAAGAAACACGAGAAATCAATCAATTTAACCGCAAGTTGGGCGGAGACTGAAGCCTTCGAGTTCGGTGAGGTTATGGTTGGAGTTGAACAAGTTGAAAGGTTGGCGGAGCCGCACAAAAGTGGCATGCCAATTTTGCAAACCTGTGGGCGACAAAAACGTGATTAGCGAGGAAATTCTTAGGGCGAACTTGGATTGATGTGGGGGCGCCGATAGCGGTACGTACCTGACTGGCCAAAACCCATGATGGGCATGTTTCTCACCAGCCACATTTTCATCTTGCTCCACACCGCCACAGACATCCCGATCTCCTCACAAAGAGTCAGGCATCACGTGCCCGATTATCGTCCGAGAATTGTGGCGTATTTTATTCGCCTTTTTTTTTTGCCCCCAAGCGCATTGTCATGGAGCGTGCTGCTGCAGCTCTCTGCCAGCGCATCTTCCTTTTTGTTTGCTTCTCCTTTTCCTGTAGTGTGGCTTATCGAAGCTTGCACCGACATCCTCCCCTTTTCTGAATCTTTCTCTACTGCAGCAGTGCGTCGCCGTTTTTGAAACCCGAACTTTGCCAACCCCTCGCATTCGTTTGGTTTACTAAGAAAGGTTGATTCACCCAACAGCTGGCTTAACGAGATTAGACTTGTTGGCTCCCGCCACATCTTCCATGCCTCGCGTTACATAAATACCAACGCTTGCCTGCTGCGGGAGAGAAGGCAAGAGAGCAGAGGGACACATAATATCATCACATTCAAGTCTCTTACGACAGAGGCCAGGTTATCATCTACTGGCTCGTGTCCACCTGGGAGAACTTCCGGTAAGGCAGCTACAATGCCGGTAGGCTCCACCCCATCCAAGATGTTCTCGATTTCTCATGGGACAGCTCAGCTGACATTTCAAAATATAGATCGGAGACTTGTTAGCCCAAATCAGCGGCGGCAAGTCGACTGCCGCGTCCGGCCCAGGACTCAAAAGGACCGACTCGATTCCGAGTAAACGCAAACCTAATGACGATCTGCGTGGAGATGGCTCAAAGACATCACGTGTGATGGCCTCGTCTGGTGGTGTTGGTCAGACATCAAGGTCGTCTGGTGACAGGTCGAACCTTCAACAGCCGTATACTGGAAGTGCAAGGCCGGGAAACACGCCTGGCAGCAAAGTGGCCGGTTCGGCATCCAAGCCACCCAAGTCCACGAAACCGGGTCTTCCAAGTCGACCTGCGCCATCACCTGCGGCCGCCGCACCCAAAGCACCGCCGAAGAAGGGATCATTTGCCGAGATTTTGGCCCGTGGACAACGGGCTCAAGCTACCATGGGGCAAGTGGGCAAGATCCAACACAAGAAGGTCGAGAAGGGCGCTATCAAGAAGGCTCGGGACGAACCACCCCCCGCGACGTCCTCCAAGGGACGAAACGTGGGTGGATACGTCGGAACATCAAAGCCTGGTCAGCGCAATGGCGTCAACGGCCACAAACGGCCGCCAGGTCGTCCGATAGACACCCGTCCGGGCGCCGGTGCCCGTGTCCCTGCAGCTCGTGGCAAAGCGGCCGCTGCTGCTGCAGCAGAGGAAGAGGCAGCCAAGAAGGTCAAGAAGGCAGCCCAAGCCACGACAGGTTACACAGGAACGGCGAGGCCGAAGCCAGGAAATCCAGCCCGGAAGAAAGATGTACCTCGCGGTGGAGCGTTGCTCAACGCCACCCGACACAGCACTTCCAAGAACTCGTATGAAGACGATTACGACGAGGAGCTAGACGATTTCATCGAGTACGACGATGAGGAAGACGAAGGGGGTCCTCGGTACGACTACGACTCGGAAGGTTCCTCCGATATGGAAGCCGGCCTAGATGAACTCGACAAGGAAGAACGCCGCGCCGAGTTCATCGGACGCAGGGAGGACCAAGATGAAGAGCGTCTAGAGAAGACTCTCAAAGCAGCCAAGGAAGATCGGAAACGTAAAGCCCTCGAGGCACTTCGCGCAAGGAGACGGTAGGTTCGGACGATGGAGCAATGTGATATTTCCGCAGGATATCAAAGTGCTTTCTTTGTTTATTCACAACTAGGAAGTGTGAAAGTTGGAAGTTGGACAAGATGGCGTTTCAGATGGGCCTTTGCAACGTCTTTGGTGGCATAGTCATTAGCGACGGAGTTTTGTATAATTTCTCAGTTTGTTATCCATCATCACTTTAAGCTAGCATTCATGAGGGCTGATATCAGAGCGGTTGGATTAAGATAGTAGAATGACAACATTTGACAAGTCATGGCTCCTATCCTCGTGTGTCTGCTTCAGAAGAACAAAACTGCACCTTTGGCACGAGATTTCATCCACTGACTGAAGTTGGGCGTCCAAATTAAGAGTGTCTACTACTACCCGTTGGCAACTTAGTGGCCCGTCCCCTTAGTCGCTGACTTGTATAGGGATATACGTACATACATGAGCGTATGCATGTATGTACATGGGTACATCCATATTGCAGTTGCTATAATCAGGATCCACGTAAAACCACCGAGAAACTCTACAGACATGACAGAAATACCATTAACACACTTTGGTTATCAAATAATACATAATCTACATCAAGGTAGATCGTCCGTCTTGGACTTCTCACCATTCGAACTACCGTACGGTTGTAAAAGCCAACCTTCATAGTGCTTCACCCCTGGATCGCTGGCACTGTCAGCACTAGGGAGAGTTGCAGGCTGAGGGTTATTTTGACGTGGCGTAGTTTCTCTCTTGGCAGGTGGAGGGGGCAAAGAGGCTGGAGCAGCAGGAAGTAGACTTGACCGAGACGTCGCAGGCACTGGCGCCACGTTGGTCTGGGTGCCGTCCTTATCATTGTCCAGCCCCGTCTCTTCCTCCCGGGTTCCCTCTTTCTCATCGGCTCCATTAGATGTAGATGCCATGATACCCATTTGTCGCAGGTAATTGATGGATTGAAGAACGGCTAGGTCCTCCTGGTCCTTGTCATTCAGAATCAAACGTTGCTGAATGGTCAGGCGGCCATTATTGGCCTCACGCTCCTTGATCGCTGCTTCCCTAACCTCAGGATCGTGAACGAAACGGCACTTGCCTTTCTTCCCACATGTACCGCCAGTGGAGTAATACTTGCAATGACGGCTTATATCCGCCTTCTTGGCAGAAGGGGGTGGTTGTGCGGTCTGTACTCGAGAAGACATAACTTCTGGCTTCTCGTCGTCCGAGTCATCAGATGGGTCCCTCATCTCATCTCCTTCGTCCCCTTGCTCTCGCTTTCGCTTGATGGAGAACTCAACCTTACGGAGCTGCTTCCTCAGCTTGTCCGCCTGCTTTTCGAGTTCTGCCGTCTTGGCTTGGTCCTTTTGCGCCAACTCGGCAGCTTTCTTTGCCTCCATTCGCGCTTTTGTAGGATAATTCCTCCGTCGTTCAGCCAAGAACGCAGCAACGTCACTAATTCTGTTCGACTGTTAGTACATGATGAAAACAGCAGGATGGTAGTTTGACTTACTGAAGGGTTTCTGCACCAATCAAATCTGTGAGGATCTTCTCCTCACCCTCATCATCTTCGGTTTCTGATTCTACTCCTGGAGTTAGGCCGAGAGTGTTCACCTTACGTTTCTTCTTCTTTCCAACCGAGGGAGTATCTGTCTTAGGCTTATTACTGTCACTGTTGTGCTGCTTGCCAGTGCGGTTTTTATTGTAGTGATTGGATTGATGACCACTGCGGCCGCGGAAGCCATCTTTATTCCCGCCGCCTCGGCCTCTCCTTGGGTGATGGCCGGGATATGGAAACGGCGATAGAGGAACACGAGGAGCACGGGGATTATGAGGGTATGACTGGTCATATGGCACTACAGCCGGTGGTAAAGGATCATGCAGGTACCCATGACGAACATGTTCCGTCCCGGGCGGCTTTGGGCCTCCACGATCGCCATACCCTCCACGTCCGCGACTGTTGGGGTAATGTGAGGGCTGAGGAGGACCCTGTGGACTCCAATGCGAAGGAGTTTGAACTGGGTGGACCTGATATGGCTGCCCATATGGTTGTGTGGAGGCATATGATGGCGGTTGCGCATGCTGGGAAGTTGTTGGATATGCTTGAGGGCCATAACCTGGGTGGTAGTTGGAAGTAGACAAGGGTGCAGGGGCATGGGGATGTGTGCCGTGAGGTGCATGAGCGGCATGTTCACCAGGCCACTGTGGCGGATAAGGCGGATGAGGCGGATAACTGCCTACAGGAGCATGTGCGCCGCTGTAGGAGGCCTGATGATGTGGTGGATAGGGTTGACGCGAATATTCGAACGGAGCCTGAGAAGGTCCATGATGGTCTCGAGAACGGGGATACTGGCCGCCGCGACCCCGAGAACCTTGAAATCCCCCGCCTCCCCTATTTGGACCTTTGTGAGGATATGAAACGCTCGGATGCGACGAGTAACCGGAACTTGACGGTGGAGGAGGCGGAGGAGGCGGACCGTAGCCGTAACCAGACATGACGACTGGATCGGTTGGAGTAGCTGCAGCTTGCGGCGCTACCGACAGAACACTTGTCTGTATATCAGTATTGAACGGAGGGTTCAAGCAATTGCATCGCAAGGGTTCCGATACGAGATCAAGTAGGGTATCTGTGTCGTTGATATTCGAACCACCGCTTGGAGTAATGAAGAGCGCGTAGACGGTCCAATCTTGGAAGAAGAGGTACGCAACCGCAAATCTAAAGACTCCAACAAAGACACAAAGACTCTAAGATGAACCCGAACTAGACAAAAAAGCAAGAATGCAAGTATAAACTGAAAAGTAGACTAGTTGGAAAGAAAGGGTGGAAGAAAAGAGTAAAGAGTAACCAGGTGGCAAGATGTCGAGGCGGTCAGAGGTTGAGCGCCGCGACAAGATGGAATCGACAAGAAGATGGACAAGTCAAGCCTCGTGCCTGAACTTTCAGAACTGTTTCGCTATTGGGGCTGGTACGGCCTGCATAGTGGGTCCCGAGTCTTGGTGCATGCCATACACACGCAGCAGGCGGTGAGGCTGGGGTCTGGGAGTTGCATGGCAGAATACAATCTCTCAATTTTGGCGTATCCATGACCTGATTGGCTGGGCGCAAACGAGTTTCTGTACCACGACCAGACTTGTCAAATAATTGAACAGACTGTGTGGACTGCCGGTGGACAGAGGCATTCTCTATTGCATATGCTATATAGCTGAGAATCCGCTTCTGTTCGCGGCCGGAGCCTGAAGCACAAGTCCGTGACAATGTTCATCCTGGTAAGCCATTGTCCCTCGATGCGACACCCTACACCATTACTAACCCGTCTTATGAAGACCAAAATCTCAGACCTGGTGCAAATTGCTCCAGAGGACTTTTCAAAACACAGCATAGTCGCCATTGAAGATAACATTAATGCCAAATATGCCAACAAGGTACACTCTTGCTCACAATCCCACCTCGACTCAGAAAGCGAAAATGCCAACTTAGCTATTGTAGGTCATTCAGAAGATTGGACTGTGTATCTGTCTGTACGATATCCTCTGGTCCTCCGAAGGCTTGATAGGTCACGGGACGGGACTAGTCAACGTCAATGGTATGGGAAAACTTGCCACTCATCGCGTCTATCAAGGGTCCGCTGACGAAATCAAAACCAGTTGAGTTCCGCATGGTGGTGTTTCGTCCGTTCAAGGGCGAAGTCATGCTCGGCAGGATACGGAGCTCTACGCCAGCGGGCATTAACTTGAGGACGGATTTCTTTGACGACATTTTCATTCCCTTTGAGGAGCTGCCACAGGGTGCGGAGTAGTAAGTGCCTCCTGCGACGGCTGATGATGCTTTGGGGCTAGTAAGCGGCATAGAATGGTTTCACTGACCGGCCGACAGTAATCATAGTGAGCAGCTTTGGATCTGGAACCTTGAAGACGATAGGCTATTTTACGATAATCACGAAATGGTTCGTTTTCAAGTCATTGACGAGGAGTGGCATGACCAGACGCCGGCCGGACCAACGCAAGGGGAAGAAACCCCAGCCAAGACGCCTTATAGGATCAAGGGCAGCATGGCTCGTGAAGGTCTTGGTGCGTGTCTGTGGTGGGATGGCGCATGATAGGTTCACGGAGTGCACTAGTAGGCACACCCGCCGACATGGAGTCTTGTACATTAAGTTTTGTCCATCTAGCATGAATCTACGACTTGATACCCTGAAGCAGACGCTCCTCAACGTCGTCCAATACTGAGTAGTGCTCAATGACCGCCAGATTCTCGGCCTCAGTCTTGAACTGCTTGTCGGGGTCCTGCCCAGGGCCGCCCATAGGGTTCATTGGCATTTGCTGCGCCGCCATTTGTTGTGCCATTTGACTAGCGGCTAGGAGATATTAGCACGTATATGCCACAGCAAATCGACGACCGACACTCACCATTGTCGCTTCCAAGGAGAAATACGTAAACGAATTGGAGGCCAAAGATGCAGAGAAAGTACCAGCTGATACTTGACATCCACCGGGGGTCCATGTCCTTGGTCTGCACACCAGCCTGCAACATGCTCTTGAACTTGATGGTAATAGGGAAAGGCAATTTCACTAAGCCGAGTCAGCTTTCCCGCAAAACACCGTTCTCCCATTAGTAGTCAAACATACTGATGACGTAGCCACTAAAAAAGGCGTTAATCCAACTCATAATAAGTGTATTCGGAATAATCATGGCCATGTTGTTCTTCATCATGCCCATCATGCCGTCCATGGCGCCAGGGTCCGTGAGCGGGTTGGCCGGCGGCTGACCTTTGCGGTCCGGCTCCTTGAGGTATGCACCCGACTCGTACCCGGCGCACAGAGTCTCCCGGCGTTGCTCAAAGGCCTTTTGCGAGAGAACGTGATAGTTTGACCGGAGCGTGACGCCGTGAGCCAAGGCGCGCTGCTCCCGCATGCCCTTGGCATCGAGCTTCTTGGGAGCGGTGGCCATGAGGACGGAAGCGTAATGACGAAGGACTCCGGTAAGAACCATGACAACGGTGATGGGGATCAGGATCCAGTAGCTGCGACATTGTTAATATCTATCGGGACGTTGGATACTGGCGACGGGAGGTGTCGAGCATACAATAGCTGGGGATCCCGGTGGAGGGTCTGCACTGGTAGTTGCGCCATCGTCAATATATTCCAGTCGGCAGCTCGCGGAAGAGAGAATGAGGAGAAATTGAGCGATCCTAAGCGCTCGTCGACTGCCTAAACGACGGAGACGGAGGTGGTCAGCGGTTGGAAGCAGTTGGGTCCTCGAGCCAATTACGCACAGAACAAACAGCATCAGCTTTCCTGGCGGAGCTTTGGTTTCTGCCGCCACCGCCTTCCCGATAGGGGTCACACCACCCGCTTGCTGAGGCTACAGCTAAGGCCAGCTCTCCAGATCCCTTCCAGCCCCACGGTCGACTTAGATACATCGGACCAGTTGTCATCTGGAGGAAACCTCGCCGTACCATATTTTTGTTCAACAATTCGAATTCCCCTTCCTGCACCGCGAGCAGTTCGCCGATTCAACCTCAATTATGGCTGCAGAAAAAATCAGTCTGTACAATCTTGCAGGTAAATCCCACCATCAATGGCAGCATGACATCCCCAGGTAATTCGCGAAAGCTAACGCATGTCAGACCTCAAAAATACATCCGATGACGCTCTCCCCAACTACCTCAACTCCCTCAAATTCAAACAATCCCACTTCCTGACCGACGTCCGGCTGGCCCTGGGCTACGGCGCATTCGCCATCGCCGCCGCCTGTTTCGGATGGGACTACAAATTCGGCTTTGAAAACACAAAGTACTACACTGCTGCGGCTGTTGCCATATACACCCTGCTGAATGGCTTCCTTACGTTTTGGACGTCGACTGTGGAGAAGGGCACCGTGTACCAAGGAACGGCACCTTCAGGGGAGCGGGTTAGTTGTCCCAGACGTTGCCTTCATTTCTTCGGTGGATATCTACTAACAAGCGTAGATTACAATCCGCACAAACACAAAGAAAAACGACCCGACGTACTACGTAACTGTCATCTCGGAACAAAAAACCGGCGAGCCAAAGACGCTCGAAATCTCAAAGTCCTTCGCGTCATGGTTCGACGAGACCGGTCGCTTCGTCCCTAAGCCCTTCCAGGAATTCCTGGCTACTTCCGTCCCGGCTATTGGCAAGCAGGACCCCAAGAAGATCATGTCTGCTTCACAGGACGTGTATGGTGCTAATGCCGAGGTGTTGGATGCCATGTTGGCGGGGACTGGGGCTACTGGTAGTGCCACGGGTGCGAATGCGACTGAGTCGAAGGGTAAGCGGAGAAAGGCTTGATTTAGGATGCCCGGTGAAGTCTGAGCTGTGACATGGGATGAGGGGAGGAGTTGGCATGGCGTTGATCTTGCAAAAGAGTCAAGATACCAGGTGCTAGCACTATCCTGGATGTATAAAAGCAGTTAATCCTCTTTGAGAATAACTCGTTATGAGTAACTCTGACAGTAGTAAGCCGTCGTGTGAACCATTCGATGAATCTATAAAGCATCACATTTACCCCGTGGAATCACAATCCAAAATCCTCCAAACACCCCCATATGCTGGAATCTATTTCACATTTGCCCACGCACCCCGCGCCAACCGCGCCGTACTCCTCAATTCACGCACCCTATGACCACACGCAGTTGATAAATCTCGCTGGACCTGTGGCTCATACGCCAACAAATGGCGAGACTCAAACATTCGCGGCAGTCCACCTACAATCTCCAATGCTATCTTGCCACAGCCAGCCTGTACTTCTAAACTGGGAACTGCGTCTCCGTATTCAGCGGGCAACCAATCCGGTCGGTCGGCTGATTGCTGTCTGTTTGCGAAAATACTGGCACAAATCTTGATAAGGCTGCGGATGTGGTCCTCCGCTTGTTCGGAAGCTTCTACAAGGATATCCTTAATAACTTGCAAGGCAGCCATGCCGTCGGTTCCGATGCCGAGATTCTGTGCGATAGCGATAGCGATTCGTAGAATCTTGTCTGCGTCTTGCTCGTAGATTGAAAAGTCCAAGTGTTTGACCATGAGTAGCACGGATATGCTGAAGTTGGTCCTGATGACGGGATCGGTAATGCTAGAGTCTTTGCCTAAGGCGACTTCTAGCATGGGTTTGATGAGCTCAATGTAGATCTTCTGGAGCCAGAGGAGTCGAACAACAGCGAAGTTTTCTTTTGTTAGAAATCTCTGAGGGACAACGATGATTTCCAGTCCTCGTCCGAGCTGATAGCCGGACTGGACATCGTTCGGGGCTGTGCGTAATAGCTGAATCAGAGGTTGAATTTTGTTGCCACTGTATCGTCTGAAGAGTCCTCCTATTAAGGAGAATATGGAAAAGCAAGTTTCCAGATTTGTTGCCAGCGGCCCGTTGGCACTGTCTGCTCTAGTCTTTTGCAAAGCATCTTGCAAGCTGGTTGCCACATTCGCCATGACGGAGTCGAGCGTCTCAATATTGTGTTTATTCGCCAATATCGCAAGGATGGATCTCCTCACAGGTCGCAATGCGACTTCACCGACAGAGCTACCAGTAGCTGTCCCTTCAGTTAAGATTTGTTGTGCCACGCCAGTTTCGTACTGTTTGTCATGTTAGTTTCATTGAGGTCTACTCAACGAGCGCGTACTTACAAATTTGGCTATTCTAGAAGGCCGCACAGACTCCAGTATTCCGAGAGACAGAATGCCCAAATACCCAGAGGTCAACCAAGTCCAAGATGATGGCCCTGATACATTGACCTCGTCTCCGCGGAAGAGGTTCAGTGCATATTTCTCCACCTCGAGGGAAGCCTGCTGAGACTCATTGAATTCATGGACAATGAAACCAGCCAATTCAGATAGTAGAGAAAGATATCGGAGTTCCGGGTGTGGTTCTGAGCCATCGAAGTCGCTGCTTTTCGCAAGTTGGCCCCCAGTTTCGGTTGACTGCGTTGCCCGACGATATAGTGAGCCCACTATATGAAGACCAATCAATAAAGCGTCGGTACGAGCTTCACTAACAGAGGTCAAGGTTGACTGAACTGTTGGTACGGCAGGCTCGCTAAAGGCGGTCGCTGAGGAAAGTTGGGGATACTTAACGACAATTTGGTCCGAAGATAGAGTCCCCTCCTCCACTGCACTGGCCTTTGCATCCTTTTCTAAGCAGGCCTCATTGAAATATCTCACAGTTGAGTGGATTCCGGCAACCAAAAAACACCATATTCTTGGGCTAGTTGTCTGGTCAATAGCCGCCAACAACTCCAATTCAATAGTCCTCACGACTTGGACAAACTGTCTAAGTGACAATTCTAAGCTTGCTGACAGAGATGAGCAGCCAATATACGCCAGAAGCGGGCCCAGTGACTGGATTGTGTCTAATGAATCATGCGTAAGGTTGGCAATCGATTGTCGAAGGATAGACGAGGCTTTAGCAACTATCGACAGGAAGCCTCCAGGATATGCCTGGATTATCCTCTGTAGAGCCTTTACGGATTCATTGACCAGCTCATCGGCGCCGATTCTCCTAGACCTTTCGTCCCATTGCTGTGTGGAAATGTTAAACAGGGTCTCGCAGCTTTCAGCACATGTTGATATGGGTAGTAGCAACGCCAGGTCTGAAGTCTTGTGCCCTGCATCGGAAGCCAAGGACTTGACTTCCCTCTGCCCAATAAGAGCGCCAACACCTTGCACTGCCTCTGTAGACAGTTTGAAGTCCTCATCAGATGCGGCGGGCTTTGCGGGCAGCTCCAAAGGCCCTTTGTAGACATCAGCATATAGAGTCTTGAAAACTCCATCCACCGCCGCGAAGTCATTTCTATCATGTTCTGACATTTCCACATCTGTGAGTAGTAAACGGGTTTCCAGAATGATGCGCAAAATTTTTAGAAGATCCTGGCTATGTGTTGGTGATTTCGGGTGACGAAGATTCTCCTTGATGTGCGTAACTGCCGGTGCAACTATGAGAACAAAGGCGCTTGGGTTGGCGCTGAGCACACTAACAAGCAATCGACCAGCGGCGGTAGTATACATTGGCGTTGCTAAATCAACTACACAGTCTCTCGTAACGGTCAGTGTGTAGTCGCGCAGGTCATCACCGGCCAGTCTTGTCGTAAGAGACTTCAGTACTTCCAGCGTTGCCCAAATCGTGTCTTCGATTTCTCCGTTTCTGACTTCATACTTCAAACTGGTCCATATTCTGTTTGTATATGGTGTGATTGATTCCGTTGGGTCTTTGTACTCTTCCAGGCAAGCCCTTATTGTCCGCAAAACATCTACCTGTAACACTTGTAAGCTAAACAGTACCGGGCCGGGTCAGCTTCAGCTTACCTTCACATTGACTGTCACACCATCTCCTTGGTCTAATTTACCAATCAGAAAAGGTAGAGAGAGCGAAGCAAGACGATAAGTTGATGAGAAGCATTTGCGCAGCTGCAACTTCAGTTCCTCAGGCGTCACGCCACTCTGCGCAGTGCGAGGTAGGGTGATGGGGAAGTATGCCTTGAATGTTCCATAAATCTCCTCTAATATTTCCTTGGATGGCGGATACTCTGAAAGAAATAGTCGAAGTATATCAAACCAAACCATTAAGCAATCAGGGTCCCTCTCAGTTTGACAAAGATGAAGAAGATCCTTCATAAATGCGGTATCCTTACCGTCCCGCTGCTGAAGGTCCTTAGCGACCTCTGGATTGCTGACTAGCGACCTCAGCAGCTCGTAGACGGCAAGGCGAGTTTTCGATATCTGTCGAGGGAAGTCCTCTTTAAGAGTGCACACCTTTAGAATAATGTCCCTGCCACTGTTCGGGTGAAATGACTTCATGGCAATAATTCGCGAAAGTGCAGTCGCCGACGGTAGAATACCAGCCTTGTGATCGACATCAAACATGGCTCCGAAAAATGCGACCAGGAGATTGACTGCATACTGTAAGATATCGGGCAGTGCATCGACCAGTGGCTATGGGAACTTACCCTGGCTGGGCTTGAGGGCCTCCGGGTTCAGGTAATGCAATGTCCGGGATAAGAACTCCAAGGCTGCTAAGCATTAGTGAGAGTAAACATTATGATAATAAATGTAGCGGCACAACCTCTTGATCTGGCGGTCCAGTCTGGTGTATCGCCGGCATCCCGCATCACATCGTCATCATTGCTGTCAGGCATCCATGGCTGAACAGACTCAACCCATCGTGCTACAGGGTTGGAATTCGGGGCGGCGGCTTCAATCTCTGTCCATAAATCAGTCATTTGAACTTGAATACGTATACATTTTGAGCAAGAATACGAACCCTTGGCAGCTTTCTGGGCAAAGCGGACTGATTTCGCCTTGTTGTCCTCCAGAACAAAGTCTAGAGCGAGCTGGCGAAAATCAGCCATGCCTTGAGGTGCGTGACGCACGACCGGCTGCCCTGGCAATATCAACCTGCCTGTGCTTTGAAAGATGCCTGATTTTTTGAGTTATGCGACGGATTTGTCTGCCAGCATGCGCTTGCGTTCTCCTTGGGGTATTGAGTCGCAAAGTGAGAGGGGCAGCAAGAGTTGACGATTGGCGACGCAAACAACTAGAGACAACTGGACGGTCTCGCGGTCCGCAGTGCAGCAAGGCCTTGAACCCTCTTGAATATTCCCAGCGGAAGCGTGAGCTGCAACTGGTAGCCCAATAGTCGTCCAAATATTAGAAATGGATTTTGAAGGTTTGATAGCCCGAGGTCGGGATGCAATTGATGGTGGGGTCAACCTTTGGCCCCACCAACGGTTCTTGAGCTGTTGTGGGTCTGGCATTGCCATGATCGTATCGAGAGGCCAACCTAGAATTTTGAGTCACTTGGCTTGCATCTTCCCTGCATCGACACGGCCAATCTACGCATCAACGCCGTAGGTCTGATGCATACTTACAAATCATGGCTTCTGTAAGGATACCAGCACTCCGTCATTTGGCGACCTACCCCTTGCGGTCTGCCGCGCGCCTGCAAACCCAGCGTCGATGGGCCCAGGTCCATGATGTCAGATTTCTAGTCACCAAGCAACCACCGCAAGCCTTGCTTGACAAGTACCGCGAGAAGCTCAATCAAAAGGCCAAGGACGAGGGGCATGGCAGCATTGACGACTTAAAATCTGCATATGCCGATAAAATCGTTGCCGAGCGCATAAGAGACGCCATTGAATATCCGATTCCCACGATCCCCCAAGCTCCGGAAACCCCTATTTCGCAGCCGAATCGAGGGCCAATTCCGTCCCAACAGACCGCCAATGCAGCATCCGCACCACCAAGCCCAAGTGGCAAAGCTGCTGTGCAATCATTAGACGAGATTGTGGACGTTGAGAAAATCCGTGAGCTCCCGGAAAAGGAGCTGACAGCAGTTTGGAGACTTCGCCACGCCAACTCACCACATAAACTTTGCGCTGTCATTCCCACATCTTCCTACAAAGCCATGGAGGAAATGGCACGCAAGTCACCCCAGTTCGTTTTACCCGTGCCTCACGAGAGCCAGGGGGCCGAGATTCACTTCTTGCAGTGGACCTTCGATGCCGCGTCCAACACCAGCACCGTGCTCTTCACTCAGCTGGCAGAGTTCAAAACCCGCGGCGAGTTCGCCCAGCCTCACACAACGGTGACGCACCACCTCGACTTGGTTGAAGACAAGGGCCTCGTATTGATGCAGGGACAGACCATGGAAGACCGGGGTGTGCAACCTGAACACGCCAAATGGCTTGTCATGTGCCTCCAGCGATTCTACGGGGCCTGGGAAAGCACCGAAGCCGAGCTTGACGGCTCAAGGAAAGAGAGAGCCGACGAACGAAAGAAGCTGGTGGAGTGGTTTGGGAGCGGTGACTCTAGATTTAGTGTTGAAAAGCTGCTTGAAGAGGCGGAGAGGATTGGATAGACAAGCTACCCGATTGTATAACTTGTACACTAGATAGACTGAGCTGTTTTATCTCTTTGTAAATCGTAGCAAGCCTTTTGGACATCCGGCATGACGGAATGTGCTTTCGCCTCGAAGTTGATCGCACATGCGTGGTGTTGCGCCTGGGATAAGACAAAAAACACTATATTTTGTTCCCATCATAGGCTTGATTTGATCTTATCGCAGCATATATATATATATACTTATGCATATACATTAAATGAAGGGGCACTGTTCGTTCTCATCGCCAGTCTCAGTCATCATATAGATTGCCGCTGTTAGGTTTATCGAAATAAGAGCGAAATCGACCAACTGAACTTTGTTCCAGGGCTTCCAACTCTAATTCTAGTTCGAATTCAATAGCTTTATGATACCAGGACCAGCTGAATGATAAAGTTATGTCTTTCTGTAGAGATGGAGCTCCGCAACTCATCTTGCGCCTATACTCGCTCATGATCATGGACGATTCATAAGCTTAGAAAACAAACCTTGGTCAGACAGACGAGAGATCCCAGCTGGCAGACAGCTGGCAGAGGAAATTTTACCTGCGACTGTTCCACTAAACTCCCTTCATATTCACTCTTGTCCCATTGATTACTAGTATGTTTGCATCTAACAGAGAACTTTCCGCTTTTACTTCATTCCCGATATTCCAAGTCAATCCAAACATCAACCAACTTCTGTTGACAAGGCCAAAATGATCCAGACGTGTTACGAATCGTGAGTTTTAACCCCCCTTACCTAAATAGCAGCTGCGATTCTCACCAAACCTGCAGAGTCACATCCTCTGCCCTAATAACCTTTCTAGTCGGATGCGATGAACACCGCTTCACACTCCACAGCGGTGCAATCCGCCAATGGTTTCCGAATCTGATGGTCTGGCAGGACCCGGAAAACCCTATGGAACTATCTGGCGGGACCCTGCTTGGATACTGTCCCAACGAAGACGTGTATGAGTGGCAGCATATCGACACAGCCACATTTGGCCGCTTCGCCGAGTTCCTTTACTCCGGCAACTACAAGGCACCGGGTGCCACGCTTGATCTTAACAAGAAGCCGACAAAGGGGCCCCAAAGATACCGAAACTGGTTCTCCATGGCGGCCTACTCCCGCTTCCGCCATGACCGAGTCGAAACCGGCGTGGCGTCCCTCGATCGCGACGCTCTGTGGACCCTATTCAAAGGCCTGAACTACACATTGTCCGATGGCGCGGACAAGGAATCCATCCCCGTGGAGCCAAACACTGTTCCGCAGCAGAGCTATGTCGATGTCTTTCTGTGTCATGCAAAACTGTTTGCGTTGGCTCAGGAACACTCGCTGCGGCCGCTGATGAGGCTGACTCATGATAAGCTTCACCGGACACTGATTAATTTTAAGCTGTTTGAAGAAAGAATGGGTGACGTGGTACAGCTGCTGAGGATGTGCTATGAGAATGAACATGCTTCTGGGATTCGGGATGTGGTTGTTCACTATGCGGCGTGTCATGCTGAGCTGCTTTGGGGAAATCGTGAGTTTGTGGATCTCGTGGGGTCTAACTGTGAGCTGTCGCAGAATTTTATAACGGCTATTATAAATTACAGTGCTTGAGTGGATTGGGGCTTGTTGGAAAATTGCAGGATTTGAGTTTACAGTCTTGGGGGTGAGGCAGCAAGGGGGTGATTCGTGGTGTTCAGTGAAGATATTGCCAGGTGTAGCGTAATTAAAATATGGAAAAGTAAGCTCAAGTGAGCACAATGTGAAGATGAAGTGAAACTTCTCCAGTTTTTAGAGCTGGGTATTCATATATGTGTTGTGATGTGGTGAGGTCTTTTACATCTATGCTGTTTGTGACTGGCCTACCGGACGAATAACGAATCTGACGCATGCCAAAGTTGTATAAGACACCCAGCCACCAAATTTTCCCCGTTTACAATTCCATCCATATAATTCATACAAATTGAATTCATGGTCAAGATGAGCACTTAATGCTAGGCAGTGCCAACAGCTGGCAGCTAGCAACTGGCAGCAAAAATACCAGGTCAACACCATACTTTTCACTAGGAGGAGCTTTTTTCGTTTTGGTTCTCATTCATTAAACATTTATTTAATGTCTTTTTTTCTCTCTAACCCTCAGCGACTTCCATTCTACGAGACAAAAGCTTTCCATGGCGCCCGAGGCAAAGTTCACGTTTACCAAGTGCGTTGCTCATCCTTTGGCTACGTTGCTCGAAGTGCTAATTTGATGAGCAGTGTCCCCTCCTTCGAGCAAATAGTGTTCGTCTGCTCATATGACACAACAACATGCAAAATTCATGAGCACGCCTTATTACAACGGTTCCCTCATATCAAAACACAGATAGAAGCACGAAGAAAAGCCAACCCTAATGAGGAAGTTGAATTCTCATTTCAGGGTACCAAGGTGGAATTTGAATCATTCTTTCAGTACATATATACAGGAAGTTACGATAGCCCTGAGCCCATATTGGTGACTCACAAAACCGATAGCAACGACCTTAACAGCCCCCCCAGGCCAACCACCAAGAGCAACAACAGTAATCAAAACGATAGCCCCAAAGCAGCCGAGCAGAAACATTTCTGCAGCAGTTGTCATGAAGTTTTGTTGAAGCGTTTCCGAAATGCGCTTTCTATCCTAAAGGAAAGGGTTTCCAGCGCGGCTCACTATTCACGACCAAACTCGAATCCGTACGAAAGCTACGAGAATATCTTTAAACGGCATGTCGACATATATCTTTTGTCCCAAAAGGAATACCCTTCGTTGGCCGTGTTAGCAAAATATAAGTTGCATCAATCACTGGCCAGGTTTCAGCCACATGACCAGAGACTTGTCGACATCATCAGACTTCTTGAGTACTGTTATGACAAAGACCGCCTGTCTAATGAGATAAGAGAAATCGTTGCTCATTACGCAGCTATCCTTGTAGATAGGCTTTGGAAAATTGAAGATTTTGTGTATCTTGTGAGAGACAATGGCAACTTTGCGATGGACTTGATGGATATGCTTGTCCACCGACAGCTTCGGTCGAGAAGAGACCGCTTGATCACAATGCTCGGTAAGAGAGCTACCAGGACGGACATGACTTGATTCATACCGCTCAGAGTTTAGAAATTCGAAAGGGAGTTCAAAACTAGAGTTTTTTTATTTAACCGGAGAAGGGTTGGCAGGTTTTCTTGCAGCGATGGCTACGCGGACATGAACAGGAGTGACTGTATGGTAATAGGAAAAGTGAAACATTAATTTTGTAGCCCGGTAGGGTTGCCATCAGGGTTAGGAGATTGCTTTACAGATTTGCACGACAGAGGAGGCGCTTATCACAAGAGCCCCCAAAATAGCTCAATAAACTCACTCTATAAACCTACAGCCTTTCCATTTCCCCATTACAGCTTCGCCCTAGTACCCTGGCCCTCCTCCTTCTTAATCTGATCCTTCAACACTCTTCGCAGAATCTTACCAGCCTGCGACTTGGGAATCTCCTTGACGAACCGCACACCGCCGCGCAATCGCTTAGGTGGTCCGACTCTCTCGCCCAGCCAGTTGATGATGTCCTGCTTCAGTTCATCGGATTCCTCGACGCCGGGACGCACGACGACATAAGCACGTGGCACTTCGGTGTGCTGCTCGTTGTCCCAAACGCCAACAACGCAGACGTCGTTGATGTCTTCGCGGCCATGGAGCTTGGCTTCCAGTTCAGCGGGCGGCACTTGGAAACCCTCTGTTTTGTGTAAGCACATCCCTCTTTAAACAGTGAAGGGAACTTGGGGACAGGACAAAACACATACTGTACTTGATGAGTTCCTTCATGCGGTCAGTGATGTAAAAGTGGCCGCGTTTGCAGGCATATCCCACGTCGCCAGTCCTATACCACCCGTCTTCCGTGAAAGTCTCCTTGTTCAGGTCAGGTCTATTCCAGTAGCCGTGGAAGACGTTGGGGCCCCTGACGAGGATTTCACCAGCCTATACCCATTAGCACTGCTTGCTGTACGACTTTGACAGCTCCGCCCGAAAAAAAAAATGAAACTCACCTCTCCTCTGGGCAGCTCCTTGCCATTCTCATCCACAATCTTGGCCTCGACCAGCGGCACCAAACGTCCCACGGAGCCCTGGAACTTCCACCACTCGTCTGTCAATTGTGAATGGGTCACCGGACTTGTCTCCGACAGCCCGTAGCCCTGCTTCACGCCAATGCTAAGGCGCTTCCAGACTGCCTCGACGAGATCCACGCCAAGGGGCGCAGCGCCAGAGTTGATCCACCGGATCGACGTCATGTCGTACTTGTCCACGATGGGGTGCTTGCCCAGCGCGAGGACAATCGGCGGCGCAACGTACAGGAATGTGATGGAGTGCTTTTCGATGAGTTTACACGCCTTTTCGAGGTCGAATTTGGGCAAGACGATCATTTGGGAGCCGGTCTGCATCGTGACGTTCATGATGACAGAGAGCCCCTACGCGGTTGTTAGTATATGGGATTTTTTGGTGTTTTCGTGGTCAGGGCGGTTTTACGTAGATGTGGAAGAAGGGCAGCACACCGAGGTGTCTGTCCGAATCCCAGTTCAGCACCTTGGCATCGAGCCGTGAGGTCTGGTACGCATTGGAGACGACGTTGGAGTGTGTGAGCATAACGCCCTTGGGCAGGCCAGTGGTTCCCTAATACACCGTTAGTCAGTCTCGATCAAGGCCTGAGCTGCAAGTGGCCACGCAACAACGTACAGAGCTGTACACCAAATAAGCCAGGTCTTTCTTGGGATCCAGCACGGTTCTTTTGGGCTGGAACCAAGCGCCCTTTGCTGTAATTTCAGTCCAGTGCTTGTACTTGCCCGTCTCGTCTCTCCCGTCGCCCATGAGAATGACCTTGTCGAGCGGGATCTTGGCCTTTTGGGCAGCCTGTACTGCCGTCTTCAGGAAGGGCTTTTGGGTGACGAGAGCTGCGGCTTTGGAGTCGAGCAGCTGGCGCGCAAGTTCGTCCACGGTGTAGGTTGGATTGGCAGGGCTCGAGACGCCGCCGGCCCAGAGAAGACCGTACGTCACAATGGGTGTATCTATGCAGTTGGGTGTGAAAAGGGCCAGCACATCGCCCTTTTTCCAGTTGAACATGTGTCTGAGGCCCTTGCCAAACGCGATCGAGCCATTCTTGATGTCGTTGAACGAGTATGAGCGGTCCGTGTCACCATCGGTAAAGAGAACTACAGAGACGTGTTTGTGAGTAAGGGCGGCCCTGATACGATTCACCAGCCAGCTCCAAGGCCAGGCTGTAGAGGGAACGAACCGTGGTTATCTGGGTATTCCTTTGGCTGCTCGAAATACATGGACCAGACGTCAATATCGGGAATGTCCGCGGTCCATTCTGACTGAATAGGCATCTTTGCTGGTCGGTGAAAGGCTGATGGTGGCTTGGAAATCTGAAGTCTACTATCGCGATGGTCTCTACTAGCAGGGCTAAACAGCAGTGTGCCGCACAACGCAATCGCAAATAGCACCCAAGCACAAATCTCGGAATCGCAAACCACGTCTGAATGAAAGCATATGGAGTCGAAGCTTTCGACTTGACGCAACAGGGGCCCAGGGGTGATTTAAAGGGTAGTCCGCAAGCCACCGCGGGCACGGCGCAATACCACAACGCCGACGAATCGAGACCACGAACCAGCCGTCTATCGAGTCGAAACTCGAAAGAGACGTCGACCAGGGCCAGTCCAATGCCGGCTTCCGCGCTCCCGATTTACCCAATACTGCACTGGTGGTTCTCAGTGCCAGATCACTGTTTATTTCCGTCCGAGAAGCGCCGGTGAAGCCGACCCTCGGGCTGTGGGCAATGCAACCACCATTTGTTTATCCAACTTGTCAATGGTCCGTCGTGATACGAAGCCCCGTCCTGGACCGAGGTGAAATGCTCAAGGCTCCACACCGTGGGGTAAAACCGGACCAGGCTCCTGATGGCCTTGCCGCGGAAGTTGGGGAGACCTTGAAATACTGGGGGCATCTCCATTTAGCTGATCCCGTAACGTCGAATGCATTATGCGGGGAACAAGGCTGCGCGGGCTCAGCACGGAAAGATTTGTTGCAAGGGCCTGGCGTCTTCGCTGCCGCCCTCGTGATGTCACCAGACCGGACTTTTTCCCCGTGGAATTCTAATGCTTGGTTGCCACCCACCGCAAAACTCCACACATGCCGCGGTGAAACCCTTTTCGGGTGTTTAGGGTAGCTGAGAACGAAACTCGAAATAGACGCTTGCACGATTAGTAATTCATCGCGGCGCACCGACTGCGTGGGAGCAAACTAATGATGCGAGGAGGGTGAGTTTTTTGTTGAAATGCCAAATAGCACAACTGCAACTTTCAAGGGTTGAAGCTAACGAGACCCAAAGGGTAAAAGATACCACAGCCGGTGTCAACAGCGAAAAACTTGACAAAAGAGACTAGCTTTTGAGAAAAGAAGATGCCCAATCAAACTATCAAAGACCTTGGTATGTATGTCTATTCCCAATCCCCCATCAACTGTCATTCGCTATATTATTGAATTGATGGCCTGAACGTATATCGTGTATCTAGTATCTATACCACTCTGTATCACTTGACTTGACTTGCCTTCTGCTTAATTTGCATCATTCACCACGCCGTGTCATGCATATCCGTCATTCAAATATCGTTGATATCCTCATATGACGGCTGTCGTTGACTCTATTTCTGGAGCCCATGCAGGTATTGTCTCGCAGCCTTCTGGGACTCTGCATCTGTCTCGGGCATGGCATGTTTTCCAGAGAACTTCGCGAATCTCGACAAAAACCTGCTCCACAGCGTCGATGGCCCAAATGACGTCTAGATGCTCGTAGTCTTCTATCACCTTGCTGTGTATCATCTTCACATGCGGCTCTTGCCCACTGGTAAACCGTCTCAGAAGTCGTTTGCCATCGACCAGCTGATCATTCCCACAAACCCACATTGCAAAGGGCGGAACGAGTTCATTGTACCATTGACGACTTGCAGGGAATGAGCCATTGTGCAAACCATTGTTGTCCTGTTGCTCTTCAAATTGAAGAACCTTCTCCGTTGACAGGATGCATTTGTGCCTGGCGAAGCCGTCTCGGCCGAGCCACCACCGCATGGTTTCTGCACTGACATATACCGGAGCAAATTGGAAGAGACGGTTCCTCAATCCCCGATCCCATCTTGCGTCGGACCAGTTGAAAAGAAAGGAAAAGACTTTGTATCCCAGCCAACCGAATACTGTGGGGTTCATAAATGAATGCATTTGCATCATGAATGGTATAAAGGAGTGTATTCCGAATATGAATTGAAACCAGAACGGCGAAATTTTCCGCATAAATTTAAAGTAGAATTTGTCGATGACGGGCCCGGCGTAGGCAGCTGGAGCCAGGCCACAAAACACCGTCAACTTCTCCCCGAGCGTTGGACACTGATCCTTGGAGAGAGCAATCAGGGTCTGGGCCGTGCCTTGCGAGTGACATACAAGTCCAAGTTTGTCGAAGCCAGTTTCTGCAAGCACGTGTGCCGTCAACGCTGGCAAGTCGAAAATGCCCATTTGTCGTATATTCCAACACCACATACGAGGATCGGTTGTAGACAAAGACTCATGATCAGGGCTGAATCCGCATCGGTTGTTGCCTAACCAGACGTCAAACCCGGATTTGCAGAGCCAAAATGCCAAAGAATCATCGTCATTACTGCAGTAAGCTCCCGAACTTTGCAGCAGACCATGCATCAAAAGCACCGGGAATTTTGTCTTCTTATCGCTGGGCCTTAACATCTTCCTGGGGCTATTTGTACCAGAGCTCTCGGCATCGGCATTCAGTATGGTATATTCTTTCGGGTCGTATACATGCCAGAGGTCGATAAGGAAACCATCTTCCGTGCGAACTTTGAACATGTCAACGTCAAGTCCTACTCGTCGCGCGTAGTATCCAACATCACAGACAATCTTGTCCCTGCCTCCCTCGGTCGGTGGATATTCATCAGCAGTTCCCTCTTGATCACCGCCAATCTTCTCAGCCGAGGTTCGATGATCCCAAGCCTTTTGCTTCTGTTTGCGAATGTCTTCTCTACGAAGTTCCTCTTCGTAGAAAGGTCGCAATTTTCTCACGTCTCGTTGTGTCGACTTGTAAATGATTTTCTTGATCAGTTTCGGGATACTTGTGATCAGTGAACCAACCACAATGAAACAGAGGAATGAAAGGCTCAAAACTGCAGCCGAGAACCTGAAAAGAAGGTATTGCAGCCTTCTCTTGAACGAGGGATGGCTGTAGAGTGGCAGCGGGGGAAATAATGGATTGACTTGTGACGGATAATGATCATCTTGGTTGTTTGGACGCGTTTCTTCATCTGCACTGTAATAAAGTCTTGCAGACGTTTGCAACCCCGGAACTCCATTATTGAGAGAAGACGGCGCCTCAGCATGCTCTACTTCTGCGCCTTTTTCATGGCTTTCACCATCTGGCACAAAGCCATTGGCCTCATCCGCCACTCTGGTCGTGGCTCTCAACGGAAAAGTTGGTAATTTACCGTTATTCTGAAGAGAATTCAAGGCAGGACCGGCAAACAAGGCTTTTGCAGCCATGGACACTGACCCTGTCCGTCCCGTATGATCCTGCTGCGTAGTTTTGCCGGCTTGGCCTTTGGTTTGAACCCCAAGTTGCCTTAGTTCATGACTTGGCGCTCCGTATACCTTTTGGCCTCTAGGCTTCTTGGATCTCGATGGTTTCGCCATGTGGTATTGGCATTGGCAATTTACACGCGACGTCAGATCGTGTACAGGTGCGTTGTTTTCTTGGCATACCGAAGTGCACGATACACGAACAGAAGAGGGGGGGAGGAGACTTATACCGGTAAGAAATCCAGCATTTGAAAATTGCGCTCTCAGGAAGAATGCCTGGCCAGTTTTGGAGAGGGTCAAAGAGTTGAAATGTCACGTTCATCCCCCCTCGACTGCTGACCGGGGTTCTCCATACGCGATGATACAAAGCTTGTGGGGGAGTCGTGGGGTCAGCCACGCAAGACATGTGAAATTAGTCCATTTTGGATTCTTGCCTGTGCGTTAGGCCTTGTGAAAGGCGGGACTGGACTTCAGGATGAGTCTGGACTCTGGTGTTTAACGGGGTGGTGCTGAGCATTGCCATCAAAGATATGCCTGGCAATAGTAACGTTGAAAGGATACTTGAACAAAATGACATGGAGAGACGTGGGGTGTGAGGAATCTGGCTGGCGGAAGGAACGGTGGTTGTGTCCTCGACTGCCGACTGCACCTGCCCTCAACAACTCCAAAATCGCAAACCAGCCTCATGTTCGCCGTATGGTGTATCCAGGAGAACTTGGCAAACGCGCCGACAGTCGCTGACCTCGGTGTGTCCCATTGGCCATCCCAATCTCAGGGGTTGGACGACTGAGCCTGGAATTGAAGTTGGAAGTGGTCGGCTGGTGGATCCTCGAAAACCCCTGCGCCTGGACACTGAAGCCGAGGCCTACCTGATTTGCGGACGTACGCCGCGAGTCCGTGACCCGACAAGCCGCCAACGGCAGCTGGTATCCCGTCCGTTGCCGCAAGCTGACCGAGCTTGACGACTTTTGCGACCTCAATTCTGTGGTGTCCCTTACCTTTGCAGCACTCCGCTGCACCAAGCCATTGAGTGTTGCGTTCGATTCTGGAAGGGCTTCTAAACGCGCTCGAAGCTCGTCCAGCTCTAGCAAACTCCTCGCATTGAAGCTCGTGCCTGCGCGCGATGGTCTTGTGATTGCGGGGTGGACAAGCTTGACCAGACGGTATTTCTGTTTCAAGCTCCCATCACGCTCCGACGGCTCCGAAACCTGCAACCGCGCAGCGGCATCCAAGATATGGCGGTTTCCGATGGTGCGAGGGCTCCATTGCGGAGGAGTACGATGCGTAGGCGGCGGCAGGACAAGCCGGCCATCTCGGCGCGACTTGTTCTCGATGACCGTATCAAGAGCGATGTCGGCATCATATCGGAAGATCTCTTCTCTGACCTCTTTCCGCACCTTAGGGATGGTATGTTATAGATAACCCGCGGACTCATCTACTCTGCACTCTTGTCTTGCGCCATTGCTGACATGTTGTGTGTCACGTACAGGCTCCGAGGACGACCTCCCAGATCAGACATACCACATCGCGTTGTCTCCATGGTCCCCCAACGCCGCGCCAGCCGAGACTGCCTGGTCCGTTGTCCCCGTCGTGCGATCTTCTACACTGGCTCATTCCACGGTGCAATTTTCCCCCTCGTCCTCAGCCCTTCAGAGCTTTGCCGTCGCATTGCAGGAAGTTGCGCCGTCCAAGTTGTCTAGTCATAGCCGAAGCGGCATAGAGGTACTGGTACTGGATGTGGTTCCTATACCCCTCGAGACCGTATTTGTCAGTTTGGAGAGCGAGTCGACGAAACGCTTGGAGAATGGCGAAGGCACATTTTTCAGAGAGCACCCGAAAAATCCCAGAGGGAAGAATGTTGCCAATATGACACCCGAGGAGCGACTCATCACCGCCATCCGATCGTCTCTTAGCAGCCTTAGAGTTGCGCACGCCGGCGACCTGTTTGCTCTGCCGCTGGCACCACATCATGTTACTCATGTGCCACCAAATCCGGGCAAAATTATGCTATGTGAGCCAGTTGCGCAAGGTATCTTGACCGACGAAACAAAAATTGTTCTCATGCGTGGGAGACACACAAGACACAGCCGAGGGACGGCATCCATGACCGCTAGCCATCGGCTTAATGGTGTGGGCGAGGAGGAAGAGGACGGAAATACAGACCAATTTTTCTCAGCTGCAGAAGAGCGTTATCGAACGGATGCAAAAGCTGACGAGACTGTGACCGAAACGGAGACGGAATTGTCCGCGACAGAGCAGGAAGACGAGCTGTCCGACGATTCGATGGATGAAATGATCACTCTCGAGGCTCCAATGCTTCCCACTACGAATATGAGCGGACTCGGCACGATGCAGCCCGGCACTCCAATGACGATTGGAACACTCCGCGGCAGAAAAACGAACGGTGTCGCAACCCCTGGATCCATCTTCTCCAACTTCACTTCTGCTACTGCTCGACCTGATCGACCTAGAGGCCGACTTTTTAGAGCACATGGATTGGTGAAACCCATCCCTTCTGATCTGCTTCACCCAAAGCCAGCCCCCGAAGATGATGAGGAAGCGAGAATATATGTCGACATGACCTCCTTGCCCAAAATTGGATGCTTTTCCGGTGACTGGGCTCGAATCGAGGTGGCGGAAGAGCCGCCTTTGAACGGATTCGGTGCTTTTGGACTGGGCAGCTTTGGCAACACGGAGTCCGAAGCATCAAACTGGCGCCCCGTCCGAGTGTTTGGCCTTCCAGAAGGTTATTCTCAACGACCAGTTACGAGGATTCCGAGTTCCCGAGCAGGCGAGAGGAGAATGTCTTTCTTTGAATCTCAAGTACAGCGACCTACAAGTCCTGCCGCATACGCATCACCTATTCTGATTGCTAATCTGGACGGTGCTACGCACTTGCGTGTCTCGGCTCTTAAACGATCTGCCTACCAAGGCAAAGGGACTCTGCCTCGCTTCACCAGCGCATCTCGCCCGCCCTACGCAAAAGATATTGCCATTCACCACATTCGAACTCCCGTTTCAGCTGAAAGAGCTTACCAGACCGCTGTGTTGGGCGGATTGAAACGGTACTTTGCTCAAAAAACTCGCCTGGTACGGTCTGGAGATCTGATTGCAGTGCCAGTCGATGCCCAACTGGGAAGAGCACTACAGGAAGCTACTGGCGCTGGAGGCTCAGAGGTAGATGACGTGATGGCATTAACAACTGGTGAGGCAAGGCCCGGTCAACCGTCTACGCGGATTGACAGCGTTGCCTGGTTCAAGGTCGGCCATATTCAAATCCAAAAATCTGACGAGGACGAGGACGGCACTGCCGAGGCTTTCTGGGGCTCGGTGACGTGCATTGACAGCTCGACTGTCGGTATGCACGGATCTGGGTTTGAGACGAGCCGTGTACCGGGAATGGGGCAGAGCTCATGGCCATATTATCTCGGGCTAAAGAAAGCCCCAAGACGTTCATCTGATGCTAGTCCGCTAGCTGTATCAGATCAAAGGGAAAAGTTTGTCCCGCCCTTAAGGCGGCAGCTTCGCGAACTGCTCGCGGCCGGGACCAGCCCCAGGGCAATCCATCTCAAGATGCCCCCAATTGCCATTTTGTTAACATCCACCCATCGAAACATTGGCAAAGCTACACTGGCTATGGCAGCCTGTGCTGATATCGGACTTCATACGTACACCATTGACGCCTATGATATCTTGAGTGAAGGGGGCGGGAGTGGAAGTGACGTCAAGACAGAAGGTTTCCTCCGAACGCGTGCCGAGAGAGCTAGCAGCTGCGGTCCAGACTGTTGTGCCCTTCTTATCCAGCACATCGAGGCCCTCACTGCTGATAGAATCGAGTCTACGATGAAAGAAATTCTAGAAGATACCCGAGTTCTCATCGCAACCACGAATGAGGTGGATCAAGTTCCAGACGGTGTCCGAGCTTTATTTACGCATGAGCTGGAGATGGGGGCGCCAGATGAATCAGAACGTGAAGCGATTCTGAGGAACGTAGTCGACGACCGAGGTGTCACTTTGGAGCCGACGATTGATTTGAATTCAGTCGCATTGAAGACCGCTGCATTGGTCGCTGGCGACTTAGTTGATGTTGTTGAGCGGGCATCCTTGGCTCAGCATGCGCGACTCGAAGCACTTTCCTCCAAGAACACGAACTGCGACACTGTTGTTACGATCCGAGATGTTCAAGTTGCAGGAGGTCCAATTGCCCGGTCTCTCACGGCTGGGGACTTTGAAGTCGCTGTAGAAGCTGCTCGCAAGAACTTCTCCGATTCCATTGGGGCACCCAAGATCCCCAATGTCACCTGGGATGATGTTGGTGGTCTCAGCAACGTCAAGGATGCAGTCACTGAGACGATTCAATTGCCACTGGAGCGCCCTGAACTCTTCGCCAAGGGCATGAAGAAGCGATCAGGTATCCTTTTCTACGGGCCACCTGGCACCGGTAAGACTTTGTTGGCAAAGGCTATTGCCACAGAATACAGTCTCAACTTCTTCAGTGTTAAGGGACCAGAACTGCTCAACATGTACATTGGTGAGTCTGAAGCCAATGTACGGAGAGTGTTCCAACGTGCAAGGGACGCTCGCCCTTGTGTTGTGTTCTTTGATGAATTAGATTCCGTTGCTCCAAAAAGAGGTAATCAGGGTGATAGTGGCGGTGTTATGGATCGAATCGTCTCTCAGCTTCTGGCCGAACTTGACGGCATGTCTGGTGGAGATGACGCAGGTGGTGTGTTCGTTGTTGGAGCCACCAACAGACCTGACCTTCTGGATCCAGCTCTCCTTCGTCCTGGCCGATTTGACAAGATGCTTTACCTAGGGGTGTCTGACACTCACGAAAAGCAGCAAACCATCTTGGAAGCGTTGACCCGAAAGTGAGTATCCCAATGTATCATCCGGCATCATTATAGACCTGGCATATATAGCTAACTTGTTGATATAGATTTACGCTTCATCCTTCAGTTTCGCTGCGGAACGTTGCCCAACAGCTGCCATTCACGTACACAGGTGCCGATTTCTACGCCCTATGCAGCGACGCCATGCTCAAAGCAGTCACGCGGCAATCATCTGCCGTGGATGCCAAAGTCCGTGCCATCAACGCCGAGCGCGCGGGTAAATCTGAAATCTCCACGGCCTATTTCTTTGACCACTTCGCTACCAAGGAAGATATCGCCGTCATGGTTACTGAAGCAGACTTCCTGGCCGCCAACGACGAGCTGATTCCTAGTGTTAGCGCCGGCGAACTGGCGCATTACGAAAAAGTCCGCGCAACCTTTGAGGGAAGCCGTGATAAGCAACCCAAAGCCAGCGTCGCCATGTCGGAGAATAGAGCGTCCGGCAAGGGCAAGCTCAGTGCCAAGGCCCATGGCAAGCTGCCTGCACCAAGCAAGGGTAAAGGCAAAGCTCCTGCGCTGGATGGCGATGGCGATGACGAGTATGATGACGACTCGGACGCTACGCCCGTTGGTACCATCAATGGTCGGTCAAAGGGTAAAGGGAAGGCTGTCATGGGGTTTCAAGACGGGACTGCCAGTGATGACGACGGATTGTACTAAATAACAGGGATGCGTGGCGTGAGAGCATTGTGTTTGATACAATACCCTTTCTTGCAAGATGCCCTTATGGAGGAAATGTATATCATATCATTACTTGAGTCAAAATTTGAGGACGTCATGGCCTGTAACTGGAGGTTCATTTATTCCGCTACTTTCGTATAAAACTGAAGTGCTCGCTGTTCTGATTGATTTCTGTCGTTATTTGCCCGACTTCTCGGCCTTCTCACTCCTCTTCCGCTCCTTCTCATTCTCCCCTTCATCGTCCTCATTATCTCCGTCCTCGTTTTCCTTAGATTCGTCTTTCTTTGCGCCATCTTTTAGATCATCTTTTCCCTTCTGGGCAACTTTATCCTTCTCTTCATCGCCCCCCTCCAGTTCCGGCTCCTCCTTTATTTTTTGCTCTCTCTCAATCTGTTTTATCTCCTCTGGACTGGCAGCTACGACCCTCGCCCCGTTATGGGTCTTGACACCGGCCGCATCTACCGAGTTTGGTCGCCATCTACCGCTGGTTGGGCTCTGCACAGTTTCGCGAAGAGCATCCTCACCAGACTTGTTCTTCCAAGCGGTACTGGTAGGAGACTGTAATCCTGGTGGCTTTTGCTCTTTGATATCGGTCGTCTTTTCTCCGTCCTCGGTCCTAGATTTAGAATCTGCTATGGCGGTTTCACTTGACGACTCTAGCGAGCCATCATTCACCCTTGTGCCGTGTACTTTTTCGCGGAGACTTTTCAGATTTAGCTCCTTTGCCTTCTGCGCAGCTTCATCGGCGACGGCCCGCATCGGTAGTGTGGTTTCCTTGCCGGACTCGGCCGGGCCATGCTTGGCTTTTGTGGCAGCTTCCGGGCCAGATTTAGGTTCGGGCATGGGCGGTGCAGCCTTGGGAGCAACGGTGGTGTTACTAGCGGCAGCGGGCTTCGCAGCCGGTTTTGAAGGTTTCGCTGGCTCGGGAGGTTTATTATGGATATTGGGGATTGTGTGCTCGTCGTAGTAAATCTTGACGTGTTGTTTGAGTTCGCCATATTCGTTCCAGTCCTCAATCTCGACGAGATCCTAAAGGCGGAAGGATGGATTAGCCATTGGAAGGTAAAGGGGCAGCACAGAATCAATGACGGGAAGCAAGCTTACGCCTAATACCAAGCCCTCCTGCACCAGGCCAGGGAGCTTCCTCAGACGGCCACCCTCATCCTTACCCGCCCTTCGGCCCCAGAGCATGCGTGCCTTCTCATCCGTGGCGATATCAACTGCCTTGAAAGGAATTCTATTGGCTCGCAAGATAGTCTCTAGTCGCGATGTAGCCGTCACGATATGTGACGAACCGGCGGTGAGGGAGGTGAAGATGTATAGAGCTGGATCGGTTGAGTAGGTCGTCATGGTGGCTGCGGCTGGCCCAAGAGGGAGGCTTGGCAAGGCAATGAAGTCTCTAGATAGCAGCTAGATTGCCTGATAGGTTTAAGGATGTATTTTTTGTGTTTATTTCGCCTATGGCCACGACCGTATTGCCGCAGGTGATGCATATGCTGTCCTTCCAGTGGAGAACAAGGAAGGGGTTGCACAATCATCAGGAAGCTCGAGTGTTCTCGTAGCCTAACTGCGGGGGCGGGGCAGAAACCGAAACCAGACTATGTGTCACCGTGCGTGGCTGAAGAGCGGTTCCAACTCGATCAATAATGCAGAACAGCATGCAATTCGAGGCAGACTATTTTGAGAAGAACATTCATATTCTGATGCCAGCTGGTTCTGGCGGCGAGAAAGTAGTAATCAGCTCTAGAGGGTGCGTCCCGTGCCCACCAACTTTGAGTTTGCAATGAAACGGTCTACCTACCTACGTAGGTACTTACCTACCGACCTACACATCTGAATACTAATAGGTCGCTGCAACATGTGCATTCTTTAAACCGGCATTCGGTACATCATAAGGAACGATGTACTCAAAGTTATCCATGAGGTATGCCCACTACGAAACAAATCCCTTTGTGCATGAGCCGCTGGAGGACTGTCGATTGATGACTAAGCAGCATCACTTGATTCAAGCTCCATTTGCCGTCGAGCTGTCGCCGGTCGGCATGCGATTTCACCTGAGAAACAAGGGGCCCGCGGCAACCCGCACACCTGATTGTTAATGGGCGTTATGACTACACCTTGTCTCTCTTCAATCCCATCTGGCCCCAAAATGCATGAAGGGTGCCTCGGCTGGGTGTCAATATTTGTACTGGAGCGTCTCCGCGGAACGCTTCGTCACAACTTGTCGGAACTGGTTCTCCACGATGCCACGAGGTCAAGTGATACGGCGTGACACCGAAGTGATGCCAGCCATTGAAATGCCGGTGGAATGCACCTCTTCGGCCCGTCAGCACGACACACGTCAAACAATGCTGCCATCCAATTTCATACTCCTGGAATACATATGAGGTTGGGTGGCTGAAGGTGTATGTACCACCTCTTGGCCATGGCAAAGGTCGGCGGCTGCTCAAACACGCCCAATTTGCCATGCTGCTAGAGAAGCGTCACACGTACCTGGCACGTTTCACTGACCTTGAAAACATCCAACATCAAGCAGGGATCAAATGGTGAAAATGGGCCGATGTTCGAACAGGAAATTAGACGGAAACCGAGAACAAAGAACAAAAGCTGGGGAACGACCTTGGACTTACATCAGACCGCATGATGCCCATGGCTTCGATCTGCAATAGGCTAGCAAAGGGCCGAACAACAATGGCAAAATTATCAGGGTGCGGGAAAGCCATGCTTGTCGCAGATGCAAACGGTCAAACGTGGAGCCAGATCTCGGAATATCTGTTCTATCAGCGTGCGGCAGTCGGGCAGCCGCAGGCAGCAAAAGGAACGGCCGTGTCGGATTGGCCACCGCTTGTACGATGGCAGTTGGCCACTTCAAGGCCTCTGCATAAATGGTTGGCGATCAAGGCACGAGAAGACGTTCAGGGACGAATCCGGCAAGCGGGCTACGATGCAGGTACCACCAGTCAGACGAGTCCACGGCGCATTCCGTGATCCACCGTTGGGCGGCCACCGAGGCAAGATCCAATCAGAGATGGTGCCTGATAACGCCATAGACGCTATTCTCCACACCGGTTGAACGCCATCCGCCCCGAGCGGGTGAACATGGTCGTTGGTGAGGCTTTTTGCCAGTCCCGACCTGTCAGAGTTTTTCTGGGCTTCATTATTCTCTCAGAATCTGAGTAATAAGTGCCTCGTCGCCGCCACCCACCGGGCGTCCAGTCTGTTTCCTTCACACTTCTGTCACTCATTCTTTTTCCGGACGCCAAACGTCTTATCGCTCTCTTGCCAACTATCGCTTGCAATATTACGATCATTATAGTGCCGCGCACCCTGAGACCATTCCTTCACAACCAAGACCCAACGTCGCCGTACCCACTTTGTCTCTGGCAGCTATCCACCTCGAATTAGACATCTCACGATTTCAATATGCATTCCGCAGCTCTCATTACTCTTCTGGCCGTCGGTGCCTCTGTTGTGGCTGCTACTGAGCCCAACATCATTACTCAGACTAGCACGACGACTCGTTTTCTCACCGTCACTCACTGCGGCCCTGCTGTCACTGACTGCCCTGGGAGCAAGACCTCTGCTGTCGTTACCACTCTAGGCGTCACTTCAAGCGTCACTTCAAGCACCATTTCGAGCTTCGTTTCAAGCACCACTTCAAGCACTTCTCCAAGCACCACCTCAGCCCCAGTGGTCAAGACAACTGTCAAGACCTCGGTGGTTCCTCCCGCTCCTTCCAGCTCTTCTTTCTACCCCGCCTCCAACACCACCATTCCAGTTGGACCAACGGGATCTACTACCGTCCCGGGAACTCCCACTGGACCTGCTGTGATTCCTACCGCTGCCGCCAATAGTTTGCATGTTCAGACCGGTGCTGTCGCCGCTGTCGTCGCCGCCGTCATTGCTATGGCCTATTAGGCCTTGCACGCCATGCTACTGAGTTCATGTGATCACCGTTGGTGGCCTCTAGCTTTAAACCACCATTTTCTCTTTTTTTTTTCTCTTCTTCGACATCTTTCATTGATACAAATATTTCACTTCTGTTGGTCCTATAAAAGGATTTTTTTCACAAGGGGATGGATGTTTGGAGGCCCCTTATCCTTTATCAACCGGATCTTGGGAACAAAGTAGAGGGACTTTGTTTTTATGGCACCCGCCACTGCTAGGCTGCATTACGCAGTCTGCCGAAGCTTGCCAACATTTCAGAAATGGCGCAAAGATACCAAATTGGAAAGGAGTTTTGTTTTATGTGGCGAGCAAACTGCTTGCAGCGGCAAGCCCGTCCACTACCAAGACACGGGAATGATTTATATGTGGATTTATGACGAACAGTTAAATGAAAGCTCATGTCAAATGACTATTTATGCCGTCTCAATGTGGCATACACTGTCCATATCTTATAGTGATGTAAAATTCTCGGTAAATGCTACACAGCTAAGCTTAGATATCCCTCATCGTGCGCCCCGGCCTGAATTGAGCATTTTAACCCGCTGCAAGATCCACTGCCGTACCGCGGATTACGTCACGTGGCCATCTCTTCCCGTTCGACCTACTAACCTAGCATGGTTGCTCCTTCCCTTGTGGGTAGGGGCAGCTTCTTGTGGTAAGATGGAGGCACATCATTCATCTCTACGCTTCGGCTACTTATCGTATATGCTTTTTTGCTCATTCTTTGCCATTTGCGGCTAAATCAGCCCATTTCCCCCAGCCTTAACCAAGGTGTGAGTGTGTCCCCCGACCGGAGGTTGTATCGGATGCACTAACCAGACCCCTATGGTTCTAGATGCTGCGGCGTGGTGCCCGTCTCGTGGGCCGCCAGAGCCATTCACCTTCCTGCAATCTAGGTAATCTACATCTCGATCAGCTCAAGAGGTCCCACCTCCATTTAGGGTATACTGGTTCCCGAGGAGGAGTAACAGGCCAAATGAGACTTGCCAAAATGAGGGCTTCGGCTCTTCCCGTTGCAAAGTATATCTTCGCTGACTAGCTCGAGGTAGTATAGGTTGATGTCGGATGGATGGCTCCCCGAACGGTATCAATGTTCTTCGAGTTTCTCATTGTCTATCGTACATTCAAAATCAAGTCCTCACATTTTCGCTCTTCCCCAGAGCCCTTCTTTTCTGGTTTCCAAAATCATTAGCCTTTCCCTTCATTAACACCGCCCACTCTCCCCTCATAAGCGTTGCTCCTTGTCCAATGGATAGCTTGCTCCTATAGAGCATGCTACCTTTGCAAGTGTTGTCCGCCGCCTTTCCTTGCAGTTTCAACAATTGGTTTTCTCTCTTCACTTAACGTTCATCGTCTAGGCGCTGTGGTTCCCGATCTGACTCTTGAGTGCTGTGGTGGGACCCTGCCGGGGCTGTCACCACGAGGAAAAGGAAGAGAATATATCTGAGCGGAAGTCGGTGCTGTCGCTCGAAACTGAAGATGAGAGCAGAGATTCTCGTCGCTGTGTCCCGAAGACAAGTGTCATATTTCAGCTCTATGAACAAGGCTGGCCGTTTGCCACCGCCAAAGCGCAAGGTGCGCAGAGACTCGAGTTTGAGTCCGCAAGATAGGGACATTGGTGTGTCAGAGCATGAGCACACTTCTTGTTTGAGAATGATATCATCTCTGGGAGGCTGTACATCTGTAGTCGGTCTTGTGACGGAGGGAGCGGCATAAGGTCCACTGAGCTGAACGGCAACACAGCCATGGTCTTGTTCATTTGTCCGTGGAGAGCCTCCCTCATCGTTGCGAATTATTGCAGGGACACTTCTGATTTCATCCGCCAGGGCTTGCACAACGACGTGTTTACTGCTGTTGAGTCAACGTCTGATGGTAGTGTCGTATCTGTGCCAAAGGCTTGAAATATGACAAGTTACTTGTATCTCACGGCGTATTTAGGACTATCTCGACACGGGTTGGCTTCTGGTGGAAAGATGAAGGGCAGAATATATATGCTTATAGGATGGGAACCGACTCCCAGGAATTTCCCCTGGTCAAAGACGATTGGAATAGTCGTCTTCGATCACAGAACCCTGGCCTAATGGTTCTATTAGTCGGGCTGGGTGTCTCAAGGCGGCAGGAGGATCTTTGGCGGGAATGGCGGTACGTGTATTTCGGATGACGAGATTCTGAACAATTGCCGTCCCAGCATTTCACTGACCGGACCGAGTGGGCGCATGGAAAGTAAAGAGGAAGAGAAGCCCGACTCATTCCAACTTTCGTCATATTTTTTTTCGACAGAACCGTGGCCACACCTTCAGCGAGGGGCGTGTTGGGCGCGACAGTTAGGGAGGGTGTGTACTTATGGGGTACTCCGTACTCCTGGGAGATCCCTAGCAGATGCCAGACACGGGTTCACACCGTTTTGACTTATCCCGAGACGGCGGTCCACGCCGCCCGTCATGTCTCGCGTTGCTCTTCTAGAAGGGCGAGACAAGGCGAGACCAGCTGAAAGTCAACAAGGGATGTTTCTCAAAACAGTAACCACTCGTTGAATCGCATAATACGGCCTTCTCGCCACGACATGTTGCGGCACCTCCCAATCGCGAACTGGTGTTTGCCGGCCGGCCCACCTCTTTACGGCACCCAGGGCGTGATGCTGGAGCTACATGCTGGATGTACCCTCATACAGAGAGCAGCAAGAGGTACAAATGTATTACGATTTATACGACGTGAGCAGGACTTGTACACGCATAATTTGGCAATGGCAAGACATGAATGATGCAGCTTTACAGCTTAATTGCATCAAAATACGCCCCGTGCAAAACCGCCGGCCCCGCATTGTGCTTTTCATGCCTTTGTCTTCACCTGCCCGGTCTCAACACTGAGCGAGAACTAACGTTAGGGAGTATATCCCTTCTAATCGCCATAACGGGGTAGTCGGAGAGGATACACCATGACTGGGATCCCATGATATGTAGGGTGTGTACAAGGCAAAAGCAGGAGATGTGTGTAATTCCAGACTGCAGGACACGAAAACGTTGTATCATGTGCTCCATCCCGCTTTCAAACATTATGATGGTCATAAAAAAGGTAGGTTGCTGGGCTGGCCCCTGCCACGGCTATTACACTTCACTTCGGTCGGTTCGGCCGCACGCCATGCTATTATTGCGAAGCTCCTTCAGACCAAATAAACAATAGGAGGGGCCACGAAGCATGCATCGCAAGAAAGGAGGACGACAAGCTGTCAGAGTTCTTTTCCTGGGCCACTCACTCTGTGTGGTCAGCAAGTTTTCGCAAGTGCCAGTAGCTGTCCCTGGCCTTGGCGCAACAAAGCTTGTCAAATCCTGTGGGATGGCTAGCGACAGATATCAGACTACTTTAATTGTGTCCTTGCCGTCTATTTCAATCCCCAAGTATGAGAGCCTGACCATGATACCGACCTCGTCACTTTCGTTTAGATCAGGGGAAAGTACTGTTCCGGCAAACGGCAAATGACGCACCGCTCTCTTTTCGACAAATTTGAGGGACCGCTTCCTCTTCAGCAAGGGCCGGGCGGACAAAAAGTAAAATCTGATAGATGATTTTTGAGGTCCTGGCCATTGGCATTGCATGCAGAATGACTGGATACAATAGTGGGGAGACGAGGCTGCATTGCAAGTCGCACGCTCTGGTTCATATGCAGATTCAGAATCCTTGCTGACTTATGGCCTCTAGTCGACCATTGTTGGATGTGCCAGCCAGCAAGCAACTAGCCGCCAGCGGTGCATTGCCCTTTTGCCCGGCACTGGGGGACACCAGTTCACGTCCAATGCCCTCCGAGCATAGCAATGGGCGAGCCGCCGTTGGTGGTGGAAAGTCAATTGACGCCTCGCCTCGGGCTAGTACACGCCAATGTCTTGAAAGGTTGATAATAGCCGGGGTGACGATGTGCGTCAAGGCTATCGCTACATGTCCCGTTCAACTCACCTAGCCACGCCCCTCCACGTTGCGGGCGTGGCCGTGTCTAATGGTAAATAGGCCACCGGGCCAGTGCAACATGGATGGAATTGGTACGTTGCACATGCGCCAAGGTGGGAATCTCGCGTGGCTGCCCTGCTCTGTGAGGTTCCGAACAAGAACTCACGGAGTCACGGCCGTGGGGCGCGGCCAACGCATTCTCATTTTGCGCACAATTCAGCGCGCGTCAGTCATGACACAGGCATCCGACATTTGGCATTGCAGTGCGTCGGGGCTCGAACGCCGCAGGCACCGCCAAAAACGCGGTGCGGTAGGACAAGGTCCTGAGCTGGCTCCCACAAGGTCTGCGGCTAGATCCTTATTGTCCTTGCCTCGCCTCGCCTTGCTGCACATGCCTGGCTCCTGTCCTATTCATGCTACTTGCGAATACCCAGGTGTTCGGGCCCTAGCCTTTCCTGCCTCACTGGTATGTATGGCTCACGCCGTACTTCAGACTTATGGCGCGATTGGCCCCGGTCACGGCGTATCGCAGCGTCTTCACTGTGCGACACGTGCACAAGATTTGTTGTCTCCTTTCTCACGTATGCGTCCGCGGTCCGTCTGCTGCATGCAAACTCATGGCCCCAATAGTGATAGGTGGATAGGATATTGGGCTGTATGTACAGACTTGCGCCGACTAGGAAGGTAACGCTTCGTCGGGTCGGGTCGCCCACGCATGTACAATGTATTGCCACACAGCCGCAGTACCAGAGTCAAGAGTCATGAGCAGCAACAACACGAGGCTTCATGTATCTTTACAATCAAAGGTGAGCAAACCTAGCCCTTGCCAACGCCACAGGGCACGGTTGGTCAGAGACAATGCCGGGGCACCGGGATGTCAAAGAGCTTCATCCAAAAACGGCAACGTCACTCATTCATCTCAAGTTGCAGCCTATCAGCGGAGGGGGGCGCTAATGGATCACTGATGCCCTCGGCGAACTGATGGCGGCGCTGTGATTATGATCAATGCTTCTACGATAGCCAGAGTATGAACAGGCTGATATATCCCCAATGCCTACCGCAGCTCCAGTCCCGGCCATAGGAACTGCATGGCGCATGGCGATTGATGGTGTCACAAAAACCAATATCAATATTTGCCCTTGGCTGGTCTCAACCCCAGCTCACCGGACGCATTGATAGTTTGGAACTACGTGATATATCAGCAAAAAGACGCGCGAGGGAGCTCCGAGTTGTTGTTGCTAGGAAACGCCCTACCGCCCCAATTTGCTATCCATGGGTAGGAGGGGGAGTGCAGGTACGTCTCACGTCATCGAACTGCTTCGAATTCCTTGCAGTGTGCTGTGCTCCAGATTTCTCATGAGACTTGGAGCAACTTGGGCCACTACCAAGCCAGGCGGGACACTGGGGCGCAAGAAGGAGACAGAATGTATCCCCCAGCTGGGGTGGCATCGGTTGAAATGACCAGCCGCAGGTATAACCACTGACGTATCCTCTGACACATTTGACTTGAAGATGCAGCCCGAATGTAAAAGAGCGCATGTACGGAGTACCCAGGTGTCACCACCATTGTCAGTCAGTACTATGGCACTGCGATTGGGTTCAGTAGCCGACGTACGGGCCGCGTCGTTCGAAGCGGTGCATTCGGACATGATTTCTGCAATCCCATCCGAGGTCAATGTGATTGGCAGTGGCGTTTGTATCTGCCAGGATATGGTTTGGGAGAGCGCCTGAGACGCCATCTCGGCTGGACCGAGCCATGACAACCACGAGGAATGGAAGCGACTGCCCGGCTGCTGAGTCTGCTGAGCATCCATTAGGAAATTCCCGCCAGATCAGGCCTTTCGCCGACATGTGATGTGCTGTCAATGCGGAAACAAAGCAAGGCTGGCTCTAAGTGCTGTTGTTGGGGCACAAGTTAGGGTTCCAGGTGGAAGCGTTGCGAATCAGATCAACAAGATCCTACGAATCACGATCTCGGACAAGGGTGCTGACTGCGTTCGGGGGCGCCTGCTCTCCAATCGCAAGTCTTTGCTCAGTAAGGATCACCCCTTCGCCCAGAATTTCTCTGTGCATATACAGCAACGTATTGAACGCGCCCGCACTTGTGAGCGACATCGTTTCCAATTCCGAATGACTCGCGAAACATGCACAACATTTCTTGGATTTTGGGTGTGGTTGGGGTTCCTGGTGGCAAATCTCAAGCATCTCCTTGACGCCGTCAAGGGCCTCTCCCCGAATATGATCCATGGACAGCTAGGCGGCACATGAAGCGCCACCAGTCCTTTATCCATCTAACCGGCACTAAGAATCTGCTCGCAAGCCAGTATGAACGTGTGATGGCGCAAAATGTCAAGAGCTCATCGGGGCCTGAGTCAGGGGGCTTGTCGGGGGTCCCTCCGTCGGACAACTTTTGCTCCGCCCGTCTGCATGCCCTGAGCGCCGCCGGGCATCGACGTCAACCGGTGCTTCGGCTTGGCCCGCTTCCTGTCCGTGGCCCGACAGTCGCCGGCAGTTTGTTCATCTCAGCTGTGCAGAGGCGGACAAGGGGCCATGCGCTTTGCTATGGAGGAGCCGAGGATGCTTGCTATTCGTCCGTCCCTGTGCAAAGGCAATTGAGTTTAATACCAGCCACTGCGCAGAGGGGAAGTATGAAATTCGACATCAAAAATGGTTAGTGCTGCGCCATCCGCCAAAGGCCAAGGTGGGACGTCATTTCCCCTGATGGGCTTACCGGCTAAACTGGTGAGCAGACAACCGTGCCCAGGGAGATCTGGGAGGGGAATAATTTGGTCGGACATTATAGCTTAGACAGGGCTAAATTTTCCGGTTATTATCTGCTAGGACATATGTACATATGTACATACAAACCGAACCGGGACTCGGCGCACGTTCCTTCGACCATATAAAACAATCTACGACCATATAACGCCTGTTGATAGTGGCTTGGCTAGCAGTTGAAAATGGTGTCTGGCTTGCCCCCAGCATTGAGCTGACCTGCGGGTTGACGTTTCACTTGGTCTATTATTATATTGACGGAAATTCAGTTTATGCACTGTGTGAGCGGCTTGGCTCACATTCAACGAGGGAGTTCGAGTGCTGGAGGCCAAATGAACAATATCATCTTTTAGCCCTTGGGGGAGGATTCTGTTTCGGTTTGTGTACCGCTCAAATTTAAATCTCATGCGAGTTCCTGCACTCTACAGGTTTTATCAAACGTTTCTTAAGCCGTATAGGCTTTGCATGATGTGGGCGCACGTATAGTCCATGACAGAATCTATTTGCCTATAATAGCAAGTGCATATAATTATATAGCATGCAGTTGTCTATGCCTATACACGCCGTTCCCTAAAAGAGTTATAGAAGTTTTAGACATCTAGGCTAGTATATGCCAGAGCGAACGTATATAAATAAATAAATATATCTTTATGTGCTGTAAGATGATTTAGTTACTGCAAGTTTATTAGTTCCGCACAAGTTCTCTATGCGTCGAGCGTAAACCCGTTCACATAGTAAATTTACATATGATCCGAGTCCGGGGTGGGAGAGGTTTCACTTATATTCCCGGACTGGCTGCGTCTCAACTCGATAGCCGGAGCAGCTATGCTTAAGATGTCTCGAACCAACCTTATAAAAGTCAACACAGCACAGGGTAGTACGGCGTGGTGTATTTTGCGTGACTTGCATATCCAATGCACAGACACGTTCTACCGGTATCGGAATATCTAGTCGTCCGGCGCCTGTCTATCGTGTTGGTTTTTACAAGTCGGCGTGCATGCCGGCGGAGCAATGTTGGCCGTATTCACGTTCGGTTGGGTTCGGTGCCTCGACTGTTCCGGCCAAGATGCGGCGGTTTACTCAACAAGACGGGACCAACTGGAAATATCGCGCTTTGGCTAATGCTTCCTCAGTTGGACTTTTCTAACCCCTGGCTTGTGTAAGAGCTGTATGTTTCGTTGACATTTACGAACAGGTACTGGTGGTGTCGCGATGGTGGTTCACGAGTTTGTCTAGGGAGCGTACATGGCTTATGCTCGGTCCTGTATGCCTCGTGTTCTTTGCAAAAGCCTCTTGTCTACGGTTATTGTTCATGTGTCGACATGGCGTTCTGGCTTCTTGTCCCATTGGCCGAGTCTATCTGAGTCGTGTGCTAAAGCACCGCTCATATTGGTAGCTGTTCATGGCGTGTCCAAGCGAGGCTTTCTTGCCATGTATTGAGTTGGGGTATGTAGCGTATGCCATTTCTACAGACTCTATGAAGATGTCCCATTGGTGGTGCTTGGTGGCTGACTTGCGCTGGAGCGAATTATACTCATGAAGTATGGCACTTCAGCAGCGTGATGGCGCTGAAGACTGCGGAAACACTACGTGTGACGGGTTTTCTCGACGGTAGTTTCCCGCGAGTTTCTTTGGCTGGGTGTGCGTCAGGTTTAGTTCTTTCACACTTGGTGCTTAGTGTTGAAGAGTAGACTGTATGAACAGATGGGCTCTTATGCTCAACGCTTTAAATCTACAAGACCCAAATGTCTCGCTGCCATGGAAATCTGCGCTTCCTCACGATAAAGATGCCAATTTCACAAATACAGTAGTAGGAGAAATAAAGTAAAAATTTATCTAAGTGACCCTATAGTGTGCCGCGCAGTACACTTGCTGATGTGATGGCGCGCTGGAGTAGATCTGACAACGGTTGAGAGTAAAACACCAGTCCAGGCCCCTGATGCCTTATGAGCAGTGCATCCTGACCGGTGTACGCTGACCAGCACTCGACGATAGTCTTTCAAACGCGGACCCACGACGGTTGTTAAGCATGACCGTTGAGCCAAGAAAAGAAGAAAAAAAGAGGCAGCAATAGCGGCCCTTGCCCGAATGCCCCCGATATCCAGGTTACATGTGTTCCTCCTTAGCTCCGCCTCGCCGCGCTCTGTGTCCGTTCCGAGGTGATTCGAGTAGCACGAAAGTTGTAGAAGACGCGATCGATTTGAACGAAACCAAGTAGAACGAAGAGAATCTCCTCCAGGTGGAATCCTGGGCTCGACACGGCCAGCATCAGCCTATACGTCGCCACCAGGTAATAAGCAAGGGTGAGCGCCGCAAACAACCGCTCGACCCCTTGGTAGCGATGTGGTATTCTGCGCTTCTGTCTCAATTCGGCAGAGTCGTGCAACAGGAGCATATGCTTGGATACGCGGTTTGTCAACTCGCATGTCGACCAGTCTGTTGGATCCCAGTCCTGGTATTGGAAGCGTCCCTCGCCCTGGCATTCGGTTAGATCCTGTCTCTTGTGCGGCCACGGACAAGGGCATACTGACGTCGATGTGGTAGACCCTGTAATGGCCCTCGCGAATCGGGTTGCGACGACGCTCCGCCATCTTGTACCAGGCGAATGCGACCTTTTCGAGAAGACATAGGCCCAGAGAGTTGGTGTGCCCGTCCGTCAGGACATGTCGGGGGAGGCGCCGTTGGATTTCTTCCGGCGACAGCTTCATGTTGGAGGCTCAAGTAGGCGATGGTAAGCCGAGGTTGGTTGAGGTTGCAGCATGTCTCGCACTTGAGCTTTTATAGACGAGAGAGACGGGCATTTCGAGTTCAGGACAGTCTGTCAACAGACAGAGATCTGTGTTCGCAATCAATGGTGAGATATTCTGCTTACGTAGTTTGACTGCCACTGACTGCGTGCGAATACACATGCATGAAAGGAGTGCCATTGTTGCGTTGTTGAGTATCTGCTGTTCAGCCGGTGTGTGGTGGCTTTAGCATCGTTGGACGGCATTTCTAAACACGCAGTTCAAATCGATTACTTGGGAAAATGCGGGGTTTGCTTCTTGACTTGTCCATGTTTTGAAGCAACACCCAGGTAGATGCCTTGTTCGCACTGCGCTCCGTGACGCACTCTGCCACCGGTCTGAAACGCTTCCAACCATCACATGCAGTTTGTAGTCCTTGGGAACACCACTTGAACATGTAATTTTACCCACGAAACCATTTTATGCCATTTATTTACTGTGCTAACTTAGCACGATGTGCTCAACATGACGTTTGCGCAGAGAATGCCCCAGAGCAAACTATGTCGAGAACTCTCTTGCCCACTTCCTACTTAAACTCAAGTAGCTTCAGCCTTTAATATGTGGAGGCGGATACAGAGCCATGAGTCGTCAATAGGAATGTTTTTTTTCCTCGTTTTCCTCCTTTCAGCGCCATTTACCGCGACGTGACCGCTGGCTTTCTGGGAGAGCGCTCATAAAACTCGTATAACCAACAGTGCATGGGCATGGGGTAGCTACTCTGCAGCAACTCTTCTACCTATGAGAGTGTCCGTGTCACTACACAGATGACTGTTCAACTAGAGTTTGAGCGCTTCAGTAGGCAACGCCGTCCAGGTCCTTGCCGCTCTTGTCCCTTTCTGTCACCGAGAAAAGTCCTCGTGTCTTGGGATGCGACGACGACGACGAGTGATAAGAATATTTGGCCCTTCACAGTAGACCCCGCGAATATGGGAAATTGGACGCCGGCTCCGGCCCAAGTCAATCACCCATCATTCACAGTCGTGCTTCTGATGCGCCGCATGCCTTTCACGTCGTCGCCAGAGCTGTGACCAGGCTGGCCTTGATAGCCAGAGCCTGACGAGTACGCGTTTCCCGCCTGGTCAACCGAGACGGTGCCATCAGAGCTACACGCGGCGTAAGCGACTCGTTGAATAGTATGGATCGCGGTAGGACGGAAGCAAATGCGAGGCCTGTTACGTTCGTCGCGGCGAACACGGTAGGGTTAAAGGTAGGTGGGCTAATAAGGGTTAGGGTTATATACTTCTCCGCGCTACCCACAACTTGTTAACTTATTGTTGCTAATCGCTATCTTAGCATGGATCAACCTCGAGTCACAAAAGCGCAGAAATAAAGGTATTTCCGTTGAAGCTATAACAGTTTGTCTCATCTAGCCATGTGGCAAGTAGTTCCTTGTCAAAGTTGTCCAAAACTACCTGCGTATACTTGACGCTGTTTCCAGAAATATCTCCCTTAAGCTACCCTAGCATTGAACTGTTTGACATAATTCTTCCTAAATAGGTTCATCTAAATACCATTTTACTCCCACAAGAGCAATGCTGGTTGTTTTGACAAACACATGGATTCCATCAGCAGTCGTCAAAGTCGACTTCATAGCCAGGTCAGATCTCAGGGGTAATTATAGTTCTCGGCACTTCTCTGCAAAAACCGCCATCAGTATCCAGCCTCGCAAATCAGATACTACAACCCCAAAAAAGCAACAGCCAACAAATTCAACCGCAAACTATGTGCGCTAACAAACAACTCATCGACTTTCCCCAGTCAACAGCTCCACCACAGGACCGGTATAGTCCGCCTCCAGCCCCAAGCTCATCAATCCCCCAATCTTGCTAGCCAGCGACTTGTTGCCCTCCACAGCAGCCAATATCTTGTCCTTCACGGCAAATTCTATCTGGAAATCAAGTAGCCAGCTTTTCAAACGGGCCGATCTATCTAACATGCTGAGTTGTGGCTCAGGACCCAGCGTGATCTGCACATCTACCTTGTGGTTCGGGTTTTGGGCAGGAATTTCTACAACGAGACCTGGCGTGTCAGGCATATCCTCCACGTGAATTTTGCAAGTAGTGACTACACCAGACACGTGCACTTTCAGCGCGGGCGGAATGCTCATGAGAGAGAGAAATTTGAATTTCCACGTCTTTGTAGATTCGGATACGCTCAGACGTCCCGTGGATTGTTTGTAATCGAGTTTGATTTTGCGGTACTCTATAGAATCGCCATTTTCTCGGCTCGGCTCGGCATCAGCATCGTCATGTGGATTCTCCAGGATGGCGAAGCCCCCGTCTTTCCCAACAACAATAATAACTTCGAGAGAAGTCGGATTCATACACCCGTTCTGTGGGAACAGATCTGCCTCAAGGGGGATAATTGATCCCTCAGGCGCGAGAACGGGGATCGTCTCGATCGAACGGTACATTAGAATTTCCCGGTCGCCGTCGTAGATTGCCCCCGTGAATATGTCTACATGCCGGCCTGGTGGGACCCAAACGTTCGCGCTGGCAAGGTTGGTGGCTGGATTTCTTGGATGAACAATCGGCGCGACAACCAAGTGCGGCCCGAAGAAATACTCGTTGGGTTTCTCGTACGCTTCACTACGAGCTGGATACTCCCAGTACAACGGTCGAACTAGAGGTTCAGCGCCGCCGAGGAGATTTGTCGTCTGTAGGTAGGGAACCATTCTGTGTCGGAACTGCATAAAGTGTTCCATTGCGTAGCAATGTTCTGCGCGGAAATTCCACGGCTCCTTGGATGTCCACTGGCTGTAAGAAGAGTGTAGCCGGAATATCGGTGAGAACACACCATATTGAACCCATCGAGTGGCCATCTCATCGTCTCGAATACCACCCATGTGGCCGCCGATATCATGACTCCACCATCCGTAGCCAACATTAGAAGCGGTAGCTGTGAATTCGGGCTGGAACCGGAGCGATTCCCATGTTCGAATGGAATCTCCCGAAAAGCCGACCGGATATCGATGGCTACCTGGCCCTGCATATCGAGAGAATATGATGCCCTTTCCTTCGCCATTTTGGTTGACATGGTCCTGGAAATGGAAATAATTCAATAACCAGAGCGGATCAAGGCCGGGAATTCGGGAGATGGGGCCTTGCTGCCAGTCGATCCACCAGAAATCGCAGGCTTCCTTCTCAATACTACGATGGAGAACACTCAGGAAGGCGTCCATGAATTTCGGATCAGTAGGATTGAACAAAATCGGAGCCTTTTTGGATGTATCGTGTCCAATGGCCTTGGCCATGGTCTCGTACAAGTCCTCGTGGTGGTGAATACCGCCGTGAGGATGATCATTTAACGTGATTTTCAAACCACGATCATGGAGGGCTTTTCCAAACCCAGAAGGATCAGGGAAGAGTTCTTTGTTCCAGCTATACCCTGTCCAGCCAGCGTGCGGGATATGATCACCTTTGACTTGATGCCAGTCCATGTCCACGACGGCAACAGACAGAGGGACACGACGCTTCGCAAACGTATCCATGAGTTGGATATACTCATCTGCCGAATACGGATGATATCTACTCCACCAATTTCCTAATGCCCACCGTGGCAGAGCAGGTTGGCGGCCGGAAATATCATAAAAAGCCTTCATAGCACCTTTGTAATCGTGTCCGTAGACAAACATGTATCCATCGATACGATCACCGCTTTTTCTAGGTGCGATAAAACCTTGCCCGTCAAAGAGCATGGTGTCGCTATCGTCAAGCGTGGCAAACCCTGAACGCGATAAAATACCGTCGCCCATGTCACAACGCCCATCGACTTCATCGAGTGTTCTGGCCGTACCGCCCAGGTTATCCTTTGCCGTCTCTCCATAGTGCCAGTCGGCCCCCCAGAGCGTAACTTTACTTGGGAATCCAATGGTGAAGCCGCTTCGACTGAACCGTCTCTTGTCATATGTGATGTGAAAGTTGTGAGCAACCACCTCGACGTGCTTCTCGGTGTCGTTGACAGTAAACTCTGGCGGGGTAAAGTTGCGGTTGATAGCAAAAGCCGAGGCACGGTCTTCAAAGACGCCATCTTCCGCCCATTCATATCGTAAAACGGTTTCGCCAAGGAGTGTGAAGCGGTATGTAGGGCCCGATATCACCGCCGCCGGATTTGCAAGGGGGTCGCAAGGAAATGCGTATTTATCCATGGAGGCCGCAATTGGTGGTTGCAAGAAAACTGGGAAGGTTACCGCCGCCAGCTTCGAGGCTTTAAAAAAAAAAGACTGGTATGATGACAAGAGGATTGCCGAAAATTAGCTGCTGTTTCAAATCGAATCCGTTGTTTTCTGTTGCAAAGGAGGAATGTAATGTGTATGCTCCAAGTTGTATGCTGAGCGTTCATGAACAACCAGCCTCCTTGGAGCTTCGCACTTGAAGTGGCGCTTGGAGTCAAGTAGCACCAGGAGCTATTGTGGGGGTCCTCGACCCCTCAAGTTGGCACCTAGGAGAATCCGGGAGATTCTGGGAACAAGAGCCGTCGTCAGGCTGTTAAGATTTGTTGAACTTGGTTGGGCGGTTGGATCTGCCGGTGGCTGTAGATCTCCACTTTGCCAATGATGATGTGCAGGCACGATGGCCATGGTTGGCTTTCATGTGCCTTTGTGTGCCTTCGGGTACCTTGATGTGGCTTCGTGTGGCCATTTCGGGAGCCATCCTATGTGGTCCAGTCCATCCAGCCTTCGACCAGCCAAGCCAGATGGCCCTGGGACCACGGTTCCTCCAAAGTGAGGTTGTCCAGTGCCGTCTCATCACAAATGGTGGTTGAACCATCCGCTACTGAATTGGGACAACCTTCAAGGTATCTGACTCTGTTTCCAGGTGGCTATCCGCTTCGCGAACTGCATTCCCGCCTTGTCCTGCAGCCTCATTACCCGGGAATCGCATGCTTAGATATGGCCATGGCCGTTTTGCCAGTTCCGAGTTAGACATGCGAATCTGCAAGTTATCGAGAAACCTCGACTTGAGGCCCCCAATATCCAATAGAACTTTTTTTAATCCGTGTAGAATATCGCCCATTCCTGCACATATACCACCTTCTTTTGTTGAGCCAGGTGAACAAGCCAGAATATCTAGCAACGCATCGGCCATTCTGAATACTTTGAGCTCCTGGGTCCACCAAGTAAGTAGTCGAATCACGTCAAGAGAATTTTGAATCACCTACCATTCCATAACCGTGTGCAAAGATTGAATCTGCCGACACGGACAGGAAAAGGGAGAGGAGCTCTCGGGCGATCATTACTGGGAGGAGCAATGAAAACGCTTGATTTGATGAGGTGCGCGACATTTTGTAGTGTCTCATGGTGTACTCCCATATGAGAAGCCTAATCCACTGCCGTGTTACAAACAAATCCACCTGCTGTACCTCGGTGAAGGACGAATTGAGTACAAGGGCACAGAGGTCCGACTGAGCAATGGCCACTTTGTCGGGATCCAGGACCGGTCTATGAGACGATGAGGTTTCCATGATATTGCTTTTTAGGTGCGAAAAGAGATGGGTGAGAGATGAAAAAGCCTGCGTAATGAAACCGAATTCGCTATCTGTCTCTTCACATGGTGGCCTTTCGTCAATGGGCACCAGCAAGGCCGGAAAGCAGTTTTGAGCGCAAAACGTCCTACCCTGTATAAGTGTGTGTCCTTGATCGCGCAAGGTCAGGAAACTCACCTTTCCGATATGAATAATATCCAGAATATCCGCAGCTTTAGCGACCTCTCTTTTTGTTCTAGTGATTCATATGTCTCTTGCCGATCAAGCCCGAACCAATGCACCGATGATATTGACTCCCTTAGATACACGGCCGCGGTTCTGATCTTTGATGCATTTGCAAAGTATATATGTAGGAAGAATGGTGTCAGTATCGATGATAGCTTTTGGCACTCCCGATAATCGTATTGCTCCCTAATAGTTTGAGCGTCCCTGGCGAATTGGTAGGATGAAATGGTCGCCTCGCACAATTCTGTATGTTCTGGCAGCCGAAGTTGAGCGATAGATGCAGCACACACAGATGCTGCCAAGGCGTATGACTCAAGATCATTAACGTCGAGGATGAGCTTTGCGATCAAGTCATCGACATCCACGACTGGCCAAACAGGATACAACCGATCACGAAAAATACTCAAGTATTTGCAGTACGCATCAATGGGCAGCCGCCTCGGGCATGTCGGCGCCATGAAATCAAGACTTGAAGCGGCCTCGTGGCTGGATGCTGATCCGGGGCTTGAGCCAGAGCCAGTCAAGGGCCTGGGGGTAACAGAATTTCGCGTCAAGCGGCCGACACCTGGTGCCCACAGTCAGTGCCAAAACCTCCTAGAGGGACACAAGTCGAGATGTTGCCAAATTATAGCCTCTAACCTTCTTTTATCTTGTGGCATGTCGCTGAGCGTGGGCCTTTGGGGCCTCGTTTGCCTCTGGTACGGAGAGAGGTGCAGTCTAGACCCCGAATCAGACACTCACGACAGGGTCGCTCAGCATCACACTTCACTCTGCGGAATGAGCATGCATCACAGGAGCTCGAAATTCTCTTTTTCATTGTACAATGTCGCCAGATCGCGGGCAAGTGCGTGTAGACATGGTCGCCAGGAGAATAGAACGAGGCACGGGCTTATATTATGAAAAAAAAGACTCCATATTTCTGTCGCAGTTGAAGCACAGTGGAGCCACCAGCAGCAGCTTCTGGGTCGTGCAGAGTGCCGAGGAGAAGACTGCACCAGACATCAATCAATTGATGTGCTGATCGAGTTGATTGAACAAGCCGAGGGCCATGCTTGGCCAGATACTTCCAGAACCCACGTTGGTTTTGCTGGCAGAGCTTTCTGACCTCTGGAACCTGCCGGTTTTGGCCCCGGGCCCATGTTTCGACCCATCCTGCCAGGCCATGGCACAGCATGAAGTTAGTACTGCCGTATTTTTGCATACCGTTGTGCCACAATGATAACCTTGTAATAACAGGTTGGATGATAGGATGACTTACAGTCACATCGTACAGAATGCCCATTTTGCCTGTATATTCCTAGGCGTGTCTGTGTATTAGCGATGGACAATTGATCCTGCTGGAGTCTACAAGGGAAGCACCTGTTGCTAGAGTTGACTCAACTGACAGTCGAGACTCGACCTTATGCATGGATTTGGTGCCACATCGCTGCCCCGCCTGCTTTATTTGATCGACGGCGTGCCTGGCGTTTCCGCTCTTCAACTGAATTGAAAGGCTGCGTGTGGCTCGATGCAAGGGCCTGGAGGCCCCAATAATGAATTTCACAATCTCTGTGTCGTGACAATGACGCAGCCAGAAGTGGTCGCTCCTGCCTCCTTGAGGCATGCAGCAGTTTAGTACGACACACGTGACGGGCCAAGATCTGCAAATTTGGCGAATCGGCCAATTTCTCGCAACTTATGTTCAAACAGGCTTTTGATCGCGTCGAAGGATTATTTAGCGAAATAACATCTAGCTGCATTGCCCGCTCGCCTCTCCTGTACGGTGTAAAATCACAGGCAAACAAACTTGACCCTTCCGAAGCTCCAACACACCCTAGCCGGGTCCCCTCGTTTTTTTTCCCTGGGTCCCTTCCACACGGGTCGTTAACGGGAACCATACGGAGTAACGGCTCATGAATGCTAAAGGAGCCAATCAATCAGCTCATTATCTACATATGTACCCACAGAACATTATTAGAACTGCGTCAACCCTGAATTGTAGCCCATAGACCGGGTTAGCTGGCTTAAGCCTCGGTCTGTGGCACCTGGATTTGCTGCGCTCTGGGACCCTGTGCGGCAGAGGAACAAGCACACAGTGATTTTCTCCTCGCTTCCTCCCTTTGCTCCAAGTTTGCTCCAACACACCTTCGTGCGACTGCGATTCTGCGGAAAGTTCCAATTGGCTTTTAGGGGACGGAGATTTCGCGAAAATGTCGAAAGCAACAAGTCTCAACGGCAGTGAGAGCGAGTTCGAGTTCATCGAGACGCCCAAGGCCACTCCTCCCTCATTCGAGAAGGAAGAGAATTGCGGTGTCCGCACTACCAAGGTAAACTTTAGCGTCAAATTGGTGCAGCTCAACCCCACGATGCCTCCAAATGCCGCTCCAGATCCTCGGCGTGATCAATGGGCTACTGTTCATGTATCTGGCCATGGGCCATGATCTGATCTATGACAACAGCTGCTGCTGCCTGTCGGGATTCATCTCACTATTTGAGCTGCCCTCCTTGCACGCCTTCCAGCCTCGACTAATCTTTTTTGGTTGCAGTACCCTTCCATCAAGAATGCACCTCTTCCCGCCGATGGCCCAGGCTCCGACTCGTTCAGCAACACTGTTCTCATTTCCCTTCTACTCGGAGTACCATACTATTTGAAATGGAAGTTTGGCGGTGGGCTCAAGACTTTCGTATTTTTCGCTCTGCTCGTCGATCTTCCTCTTCTGGCCGCGTGGTGGCTCGTCATTTCTACGATTAGCCCTCGCCGCAATGAGAAGGCGAAGCTTCCCGGCCGTCCGGTTGAATTCTACCTCGACTTTAAAAAGGAAGCTGATCGTGCCAAGTACCGTGGTTTGAACAAGATCCCAATGGAGACTTTCCATGAAATGTACTTTGATGGAGATGTTGATTTCAAGGGCGACTGCCTCGAGATCATGGAATACCGTCATGACTGGGCCAGCTTCCGATTTACCATTGGCCTGATCAAGTTTTTCCTGCTTGGCATGATTCCTGAGCTGATCATGCACACTCGTTCTCAAGGTAAGACCGAGTTACCTAAATCCATTTGCGTCGATACCCATATGCTGACTTGCATGTAGATGAGGAGCAGGTTCGCGACCACTACGACCGTGGTGATGACTTCTACGGCTGGTTCCTCGGCCCTCGCATGATCTACACTTCTGGTATCATTTCAGACATTGAGAAGGAAGAGACCCTAGAAGAGCTTCAAGACAATAAGCTCGCCATTGTGTGCGAGAAAATTGGCCTCCAGTCTGGTGAGAGGATGTTGGATATTGGTTGTGGTTGGGGTACCCTCGCGCGATTTGCCAGCGAAAACTATGGTGCCCAAGTTACTGGTGTAACTCTTGGCCGCAACCAGACTGCCTGGGGCAACAGTGCCATGCGCAAGGTTGGCATTACAGAGGCTCAGAGCAAGATTCTGTGCATGGATTATCGGGATATCCCCGTACCTGAAGGAGGCTACAACAAGATTACTTGTCTTGAGATGGCTGAACATGTTGGTGTTCGCCACTTTTCCAGCTTTTTGAACCAGGTTTACGACATGCTCGACGACGATGGTGTATTCTTCCTTCAAATTGCCGGTCTCCGGAAGCCCTGGCAGTATGAGGATCTCATCTGGGGCCTGTTTATGAACAAGTACGTCTTTCCTGGTGCCGATGCGTCGACTCCTCTGGGCTGGGTTGTTGATAAGCTTGAGGGCGCTGGCTTCGAGATCAAGGGTGTTGATACCATCGGCGTTCACTACTCTGCCACTCTCTGGAGATGGTACCGCAACTGGATGGCCAACCGCGAGAAGGTGGAGGCCAAGTACGGCAAGCGATGGTTCCGTGTAAGTCTTGACGCACCGTCAAACAAATGTGAGCTTGAAACTGACCTGAGAGTGAATAGATTTGGGAGTACTTCCTTGCCTACTCTACCATCGCTTCACGACAGGGTACTGCCACCTGCTTCCAGATTACTCTTGTCAAGAATATCAACTCTACTCACCGAGTTGAGGGAATCAACTCGCAATTCGCCTTGTCTGGCGGCCTCAAAAACTTCAAGGGCGACCTCAAGGCCTGGGCTGCCAAGAATAATGTGGCCTCATCCACCGACTTCCACTCCTAAAAGTGCATTGGGGGCTCCGCTGCAGCTCTTATGCCGTGTTGTTTGCTGAGAGCCCGAATTTATTTTAGGTGAGACGGTCTGGCTGATATTCATGTTTGAATCCTGCGTGAACGTCAAAAAATGGCGTCTGGACGCTATTTTGGTATCGAGAGTGCGGTGTTTTCAGTAAACAAGTTTTTAATATATGTCGGGGTTGGGAACTTCAACTGGACTTGTTTCGGTGGCTGGGGCAATTCCTAAGTCGTAGAGACTAGATAAAAGAAAATAAAAACGCCACAGACATGGTCCGCAGTCGACATAGCATTTAAATTCAGCCACTCTGTGCTATGTTGCCCAAGTCATGGCACAATGGTGATATTTTGGCACATAGTTTGATGATGTGTCTCGTGCGGTGATGCCATGGTCTCTTTGACGCATTCTGTGTGGCGGCCTTGCTGTTCAACCCAGGCACATTGCAAACAAAGTCTCCTTACGAATCATCTAATCGCTGTCACCGAGCACATTCTTATATCGACCCCAGCTACCTTCTCTATGGGGATCTGGGGCCGCTGGTAGTCCGGCCTGTCGGGATTGATTCCAGTTGGCACCGTGGGGCTTCGGACAACTCGACACAATCGGCCGAGTAAACACCCACACATCACACACAGGTCATCGCGCGTCTTCAACATATACTCGATCATCTCACCAACCAACACTAAACTCACAAAAAAAGCACAACCCGCCAAAATGAAACGCCTACCAAAACACCCATCAATACCGCCACTCACTATGCGCCGTGTGCTCCCCCAACGGCGGCCCTTTTCACCCTCCCACCCCTCGCCAACCTCATCCTCCCGCATCACCAACGACCTGCAAAGCCGTCCGCCCAAACTCATCCCCGACTACCTCAGTCCCATGCCCTCGCACCTCCTCACCACAACTCTATCCGACCTTCTGCACGCCCCAACCCCCTCGTCACCCACGATACAATCGCCCCCAGAGGTCCTCCCCCAAGGCCACCACCTAGTCTACTTCCCTATCCAAACCGCGCCCTCAAAACTGGCCCCCGACGGCGCAGACCTCGACCACTCCCCCGGGCCCGAGTTCCCGCGCCGAATGTGGGCCGGCGGCGAGGTGAGTTTCCGCAAAGGATGGAGGGAGAGCCTCCTCATGGACGGGCGGCCCTGGCGCTGCAAAGAGGAGATAGGCGACGTGAGGGTCAAGGGAGACAAGGGGCAGGAGAAGGTATTTGTAGATGTGTGGAGGAGGTACGGCGCCAAGCAGGAGTGGGACATTGAAGAGCGGCGGACGCTGGTGTTTATGAGGAATACCGAGGGGCAGCTGGCTTCCGCTCCTCGGCGAGCCACGACATGTGAGTCTGCGTCCCCGTGGGTTATTCTGTGTCCTCGGTGAACATATTATTAATGGTGTTTTTCTTTTAGTTCCCCATGCGGCAAGTTGGTCGGCGAAGCTTGTTCCAACGCCAACGCACTTGTTCCACTTCTCGGCGCTGACGTTCAACGCGCACTCGATTCACATTGATCCTTTGTATGCGCGGTCTACGGACGGCCATAGGGATTTACTTGTGCATGGGCCGCTGACGCTGGCGCTCATGTTGAGCGTGCTGGGGGGCGGCGTGCAGCGGATATCGTATAGGAATCACGCGCCGCTCTATGTTAACGAGGAGATGACGGTTTGCGTGCGGAAGCCGGATAATGGGGGCGGCTGGGATGTCTGGGTTGAAGGGCCAGAGGGGGGGTTAGCTGTTCGGGGGAAGGCGGTGATGGACACGTAGATCGTAGATGTTGTATTACTCGGGGTTGTTTACGCATTCAGCGAAACATGTAGATCTATTCAAGACAAATTGCCACTGTCCCATGCCTTTATGATACAAACGCCATCCCCCGAGATATAACGCGATAAAAAGGGGAAATGCCTAGTCTGCCCAGCCGAATACTTCACCGATAGAGAGTGTATTGCTCCTCAGCCCAGTCAGCGTCACCAACAGGACGATCAAATCGAGCACTACTAGCAAGACTGCCGCCATCATGTACCGCGGGCAAAATACCCGATACAGCATTAGGTGTCTCCGCAACCAGCCCGCCCAACTCATTGTCGTCAACGCCTCCACGGCATAGTAGGCAATAAATACACCAAGGCTGCGGGTGACTGTCTCCAATACGCCCTTCTGCTTCGGGCCGACCTTCCACAGCGCAAGGAGGGGAACACACACGGCGGCGAGGATCTGGCCACCGAATGTATTGAGGGTGACGACGATGGGAGTCCATGGGTACCGGATGGTGAAGAGGGGAATGAAGGCACTGTCCCACTGGATGCTGGACAGGACGGCCTGGTGGCCGGTTTTGAAGTAGTAGAAATTTCCGAGGATGGCGAGCATAACAGGGCCAATGGTTTCGTTTCTAAGGCTATTGAGGTCGACGATTTCAGCGAGCGATAGGATCTGCCACATCATCAGGGCGAGGGCCCCGGAGCCCATGGGTTTGGTTAGAAGGAGACAAGCGGCAAGTATGTTGATGGGCAGGAGAAGATAGCGGGAGCCCGAAGCGTTGCTGTACCCGAGGATGGCGACTCGTGCTTGGCCTGTTCTCGAAGCCGTCGAGACGATGGAAACGCTGGGCGGCGCCCAAATGAACGCTGTTGTGCCCGCAACCAAGGCGAGTGCAAGAATGGTCTGGGCCAAGTAAACACCAATGTTTTTGAGTGTTCCTTCGGATAGCTTGCCAGCGAGCCACCGACCGTTGTTCGTGGCGTCAATGGTCCAGTAAATGGCGGACATGAACAGCCCGACACGGAACACGTATCCGATCCAAGTGGGAGCCAGGCCTTCGTATGATCTAGTAGGTGTAAGGAAAGATTTAATGATTGAAGGGAGAGCAATGAAAACAGTGAAAGGAACGATCAGCTGCCAGGGTGATACTGTCGAAGTGCCTGTGGCGTAGTATGTCGACACGCAGAAGGGCATTTGCTCCTCGCGGCAGAGCTTGGAATAGGACGCAAGGCGGCCGAGGAGGATAAATACAACCGAATGGTAGATAGCCATTGTGCGGTCTACCTTGGACTCGAGGCGGAACGCAGAAATCGCCGATGCGAGACCAAAAGTCGCGACAAAGAAGAGAAGAATCTGGTCCTCCCAGATGGTATACGAGTTGGATGCGAAACCAATGGAATGACTGAGAGCAAATACCACAGAGAGCCAACCCCAAAATGTCCTGGGGAGGAGGTTCATGATTGTCTTCCCGCTCTCATGGAGCGAGGAGCCAACTGCGGTCATCATGAGAACCACAACGAGAGTGGCTAGTCGGTCCATCGGTTGCTGTCTATAAAGACCGGCGGCAATCAAGGTGCCGATAATAAAGAGAAAGCGGGTGTCCCATAGGCCACGAAGCATATTCTTATGATAGAATTGATCAACGTGAAGTTCGGCTTCGCCCTTGAAGTCCAGTACCTCCAATTTCTTCTCCGCATAGTCTAGTTCGACGTCATTCATGACGACGAATTCGTCTTCCTCAGTTCTCGAGGAGTAGAGTACAAGCAGCACAACGCCGATCGCCGCGACAATGACACCGAAAATCATGCGAGGAACATCAAACCGCGCCCAGAGATCTTTGCATACGCTGAGAGTCTCCTCCTGGAACCTGATGAAGGCTTTGTAAGCATCTTGGTGGGAGTCGCTCCGCACCGAGATGGCTTCTGTCCACAGGCCAGCGGGAGAACTGGCATCTGTGCTGTGCGACATTCCACGAGCCTCGAAATACGACTTTTGGTATCTCTCTATCCCAGCAGATGCCATGCGAGACACGGCTGCGAGATTTGCCCAGTCATTGCCCTTGGGACCAGCGAAAGCTTCTTCGATGGGGCGACCTAGATTATTGTACGGTATGGGGATGCCCAACAGAAGCGAAAGCGTCGGCACCAAATCGATTTGATTGACGGGCCTAATTTTGGCCGTGGCAGGAGGTATTGCATGTTGCGGCAATGTTCGTCCAAAAATTGGTGTCTTTGAGTACATCCACAGTGCAGCCTCCACTTCATCGTCGCTTTCACCACCATGGTCACCTTTGGCATCCATTCCATGATCGCCCATGACCACCAACAGTGTATTGTCGTCGATGGTAGCGGCAAGGTCGCGAATAAATCTATCCATCTGCTTCAACTTGTCATTCATTTGCTTGTGGTTTGGACCAAACCGGTGACCAGCGTGGTCAACACCCAAGCAATGTCCGATGAGCAAGTCCCACTGATCCTTTTTGCCGGGCTCCATCAACGGGAAGATGTTGCTAATCACTCCATTGTCGACAGTATGCAGATCCGGGACGTTGAAGCTAGGGTAGGCCTTGCTGATATTTGGCTCAAAGTACCCTGGGAACAGATCCCACCAAGTATCATCTCCCAGATGCGCAATTTTCTTACCAGCAGTCTTAAGTTGCATAAGAATATTGTCCTCATCGATCGCTGACCCTGCAAAATTGCTACCTGCGTCAATGAATGTAGGTAGGGTGCCGGTCGTCAGTCCCTTCAATCGCTGCAGCGTCGTGGTCGGGGGATCGGCAATGAAGGGTCGCAGGAATGCATTACGAGGTGACTTGAGGGCCGTTTCGTATAGAAATGGGAACGCGTTATGAAATTCCTGCTGCTTGGCAGGATCCTCTGGGACCGTGAAATCGTACCGAAGGGCATCGATGATAACCACTACGGCGTGATCGAAAGTCTTGGGATGCCAACAGCCCTTGCCAATATCCAGGGGCGCTAATTTGCTTTCAATGGGCGGGATCGTGCAATTGGACTTGTCCTCCAGCACCAGTCGAGTCAACAGAAAGCCGCTTGTGAACAACCAAATGCCGACAGCATGGATCGCCAGCAACCACGTCCAGAAGGCGACGGTCCACCACCACCGTTTTTCGTACGACCTTTGCCGCGCCTCATTCAGCCTCTCGCGCTGTCGTTCTAGGGATTGCGCAGCTTCTCGCTGGCTCGGCTGGCCAAGCGCCTCGGCCTCTGCATCGTTGGCTGCTTGTATGCGCTTCGCTCTGGCCCATTGTTCCGCAATTGCTTTGTAGTCGGCTTGGAGGGGTTGCGACGATGGCGGCGATGGTGCAGACGGCTGTGGCGTGGCCCTCGCCTTGGACTTGGGACTCCGTTGCGGCATCTTGGTCTATTGGCTTCCGCGCGTCAATCCCATGGCCATTGGCGGCCCTGAAGCTCTGACAGACGTAAAAAGGAAAGGAGAAGTTGGCGAAGACTGAAGACAGCTGCTCCAGAGGGACACAGAGTTTGTCTGTGGAGCTTGAAGGGTAATAAATGACCTGCAATACCAGTGGCGCCGGCTAGTATATCCAATCCAGCCCAGGGAGTTGGGTGGATTCTTGACGTGGATTTTCTCACTACGAAGATCAAGCTGGGGATCCACAGCCTGCATGTGAGCCGTCGACGTCACCGCTAAGGGCTGGTGCACCTTCCTGGCCAACGTCAAAGAGGATTGGGGGAAACTGGTTTTGTCTTCTAGTTCATTTTATAACATTCAATGTTGCCATCCCATCATTTAGTCTCAAATTACATGCCATTCCGTCGCAGGTCCCAACTTCCCCAGCAATTGCCTCAAACAGACGCCAGCGAAGACCACCGTCGTGGCATCGCGCTCGTCCAAGTCTAACAAATATATACTCTGCAGCTGGCTAAATACAGGAATATGAGCAATAGGCATCATTCTGCCCCCCCCCAAAAACGCCTACCATATATACACATTTGCGATAATTGGCAGCCACATTCGCAAAAGAAACCCAGACCTCGTTCAAAAGCTCAACCAAATCAAACCAACCGATGCATCATGATTCCCAAAACACGGCGTATGAATTATTCATCGTGACGAATGAATCCAGTCCTTCTTTAATCAAACATATCCAGTTCCGATGGCCGGGCACTGGCACTGCCAGCTCCTCGCCGCTCAAGTCGACGTCGACGCCTTCTATCTTCTGCAGCCGCCGAGTCGCTACCTTTGCCAGGGCCACTTGGTGAGGGAGTCATTTGGCTCCATGTGGCATGGCTGCCCGGGCTTCCCAAGCTGGACATTGTTTCGTGAGCCATTGGAGAAGATCCCGATGGTCCTGGCTGCGGTTGCCCGGAGTAGTATGCTGAGTCCTTGTTCTTCCTTGATCCCTTGGCAAAGGCAGGGTTGGGGGGAGACAACGGAGCGAGCTGGTCCTCCTGTGCTTCCGCCCTTCGTTCAGCAGATCGCTCTGCTCTTCTCTGGCTCGAGTCTCGTCTGTATCCGCGGCCATAACTAGGCGATTCCAAGCCTGAGATGCTGCTGTCTGAACCTGCTCGGCTTCTCTGCCCTCCGGCAGCTCTTTGTTCTTCTTCAGTCAACCGACGCAAAGTAACATTTCTATCTCTATCATCGTGCATCTTTACCTTGACGCTGACAGGCTGGCTAGAGGGTGACCCGTATCGATCTCTTTCTGAGGCAGCAAGTCCGCCTGCTCTGGCTGCAGCCGCCGCCGCAGCTCGCTCTCCGGCCCGCCTCCGCCGCTCAGATGGCCGTCTCTGGGGGCGGCTGTCGACCGACGACAGTTGCGACTGGGACTCGGCTTCTGAATGTAAAATGCCCCGAGGATCTGGAGGCATGGATGGCATGGAAACAGATCCACTTCTGGCGCGTGATCGTGACCGTGATCTGGAATGGCCGCCATGTCCCGAGACTGGAACGATTGGAGGGGCGGTTCCAGTCTGTGTTGAAGTAGGACCAGTATATGAGCTCCCTATTGGCCGTGTGTCGACTGACGACTCCGTCAGATCTGTCATGTCTGATAAGGCTGACGCTCCAGGATGTCCAGTGCCTCGCCTAACTGGAGGCGGCCGTCGAGAGTTCCGTCGAGAAGGAGACGGGTATCCATCGCCAGTAAACCGAGAGCCAGAAACCCCAGACCTCATGTCTTCCTCGTCCTGATATCTCTCTTCTTCCTTCCTGGCTCGTCTATCGGCAAGCTTCTTAGCAAACCAACCCATTCCCAGGCCTCCAAGGATACCTTTCGCCAAGCCGCCTCCGTGCCGGTCATCCCGTGGTCGTCGTGATGGGCTCACATACGACGAGTAGTCGGAGTCTTCGTAATCGCCACGGCCGCGGGAATGAAGTGGTTGAGGAGTCACCGGCCGTCCTGGGCCACCTCTGCCCGGAGGGTTTGCTGAAGGGGGCAATAGCGATGTCTGCGTTTCATCTGGTCGGCGCGGATAGTCCGTATAATCACTACTAAATTCGCTCAGGGTGGTGGTGTCTCCTCGTCCAGACCTATGCCGCCGAGGCGTTTCGGTTGAAACAGCAGAGTATTCCTCGTCTCGTCTATCATTTCGTCGACTCATCATGCCAGAAACCAGCTTTCCGGCACCAATAGCACCAGCTGTGGTTGCCAACACTTTCATGAACCCGCCGCCACTCCTCCTGGGCGGTTCGGAATACTTTTCGCTGATATAACTTTCTGAGCCCCGTCGCGAAGGAAGGACTTCGGGGCCACGGCTGCTAATGAAGGAACGTGATCTGCTGGGACTGAGGTCGCGCTCCTTGTTCTTATTTCGCCCACGCAGCAAGGTCCAAATACCCGCACCAGCTGCAAGAGGACCGAGCCACTTCATCCAATTGCTCCGTTCATGTCTTGGCTCTTGCGAGAAGTATTCAGACTCGGTCACCCGCGTGTGGCCCGCTTCAGATCGAGCCCCGCCGTGGTACATTTCGCGGCGACCCTCGGCTCGATAGCTCAAGATGAAGTACACCAAGAACAGGAAACTCATCCAGAGGGCGTAGAGAATAAATAAATACTTGGGTGATCCATATAGTGTAAGGCCCAGGGGAACCTGGACGATGCCCAGAAGACCAATTGCTCTGCCAGACCACTGATGGATAGTAATGCGAAGTGATCTGATTTTAGTGATGTGGCGTACCAGTCGCCCTCCGACAAGCTGCAGAATGAATAAGACGAAAATAGCAACGCCAATTCCATGGTGGGGGTTTGTCAAATTCCGCTCGGGGCCTACAGCGAAGAAGCCCAAGATAAAAACGGCTAGAAGCATCAGTCCAGAGAAGACCTGGAGCTGGGCATGGTATACGACTGCGAAACCCGGCTCTCGCGAGTAGAACCTGGCTAGCATGACCGAGACGGGGACAAAGAGGAGAAATATGAGAGCTCCAATAATGCCGTGGGCTAAGACGATTCGATGATACTGGGGAAGAGTAGCGAAACGATTACCCATGCCTGCAGGAGCAAGTTAGTTACACGGCAACGAGGAAGCAAATGAAGCCGGTCGGGGCATCCTACCATTGTACCGCATCGTATCGAAATTGACGCCCTGGAGATTAGGAAGCAGAAAGGTATTCTTTGAAAACTCCCATGTTCCATCTCCAACAGTCATGGTGCCCGATCCATAGCTCGCGGAGCCAGGCGCAGAGAACTGGTCTCCTTGAGGCGCCATAACGGCGGCGGCGGCGGCAACGCGAGCCGCAATTATTTACTCAGCAAAACTGTCTTCTTTGCTGGTGATGTCGGAACAGGCCGTTTTCTGCCATCCGCTTGGGGGGGCAACAAAGTCGACGGGTCGAAACAACGTCAAAGGAATGCGGCAACGCCCGAGCCCGGGGTGGTGGTCGATATCTGGTATGCGGCAGGATATAAGTCGGGCACCGCTTGTTTTGAGCGGACCCTGGGAACGGGCTCGAAAAACGTTTAGGCAGAGGTGAAAATGGATACTGGAAGTTGATGTTGGGTTGGAGTGTATGGATGGGAACACGAAAGATTCACAAGGCATGCAGGAGAAAAAGAGAAACATACATGCGACTCAGCCAGTCCTAGATGGCCAAGCCTATTGATGCAACACCAAGCACATGGGAGGCAGCTTGAGCCCTTTTTCCCTGCCCAACTGCGCTGCTGGAGCTGCGTGGTTGCGCGGGGTGACGACGCAGATCTTGGCCGGCCCACCAATAGGGTTTGCGTATTGGGCCCGTAGCGGAGCGGTGAGTTGGCGCGCCCCACTAGCCTAAAAAGGCAATCGATGTAAATAACTATAAAGGTTGTAGATTGATTACCTGGGCGCAGGATGATGTGAAGAATTGAGCGTGAGGGGAAGAGCTCTTGATCCAGGCATGTTTCATACCTAGTACTCTTTTGATTCTCTCAGCTTGGAAGCATCTTCTAGTGGTCAGTTGGTCCATTGTCACGTTCAAAGTGCAGGCTACGTCAACCTGACTAGCTTCGGTAGTAGCCGGGAATACGACAAGGCATTGAATTGGCGATTTAATTGTCAAACGCGAGGGTCCCATTTACGCGGAATCTTTGTACAGCGTAATTCCTTTGACTGTTTCCAGAAAAAAAGTCACAATTGTGTATAATAACGCTATATGAATGTCGTGAGTATCGAGTTTATCTGGCCTTGTAAAAGCCGTAACGCTCACCTCAAACTACAACTTGCAAGCCCTCATATTCCCTCTTGCAACTTCTGTCTTACCTCATCACTGTATCCATATGATTACAAGTACGAATCGAATCCACCACGTACGAGCATAGCACACCATCCGACTTATAATTTCGCTCCTCCCAACCCTCCCATCATGGCCAGCTCCAGCCTCACTGCCAAGTCGGCGATAATCTCCTCGCTTCCGCCACCAACAACCTGCAACACAGTTAGCCACCGCTCTTGGAAACAAACCACCACCACTTCCCCAAAAGGTGTACATCTTGTACTTACCAACATCCGCAAATCCCGGTTAATCTGCTCGACAGCCGCGCCCGGTCCGCCCTTCATGTAGCCCGCGCCACCAAAGATCTGCGCTGCCTCCCTGGCGGCCAGCTCAATCAACTGGCCGCCCTGCACCTTCAACAGCGCAACTCTGCTCGCAATCTGGGGGTCCTCCCAGCCGAGATCCGAGCACTTGATATGGTACGCCAGCTGCTCCAGCCACGCCCAATGGGCCTCGATTCTATGCGCCATCTCCGAGAGCTTCCTGCGGATGACTTGGTTCTCGATCAGGGGCTTGCCAAAGGTTTCGCGCTTCATGGCATACTGGAAGGACATGGCCAGGCACGACCGCGCCTTGCGGTTGCACCCCACCGTCAGCAGAAAGCGCTCCTTGTTGAAGTTCTTCATGATGATCATGAACCCCTCGTTCTCCTCGCCGAGGAGGTTCTCGACGGGCACCCTGACGTTCTCCAGGTAGACAAAGGAGGCGCCGCCCGCATTCTGGCCCGAGTTTTGGATCTTTTGGTGCATGATGCCCGGCGAGTCCATGGGGATGACCAGCAGGGAGACGCCCTTCATGCCGGGCCTGCCCGTCCGCACGGCCGTGGTCATGTGCGTGGCCCAGGGCGTGCCGGTGATCCACTTCTTGACGCCGTTGACGATGTAGAACTTGCCGTCGGGCGTCTTCTCGGCAGTCGTCTTGATGCGGGCCACGTCCGAGCCGCCCGACGGCTCGGTGATGCCCAGGGAGAAGTTGGTCTTGCGGGTGAAGAGGCCGGGGAGCCATTTCCGCTTCTGCTCCTCCGTGCCGCAGTTGACGATGGGCGGCGCACCGATGGACGAGGCGCCGGCCAGCGCGATGCCCACGCCCCCCTCCACACGGGACATTTCGTCGCTCATGATGAGAAAGTGGAACGCGTCGAGTTCGGCGCGCGGAATGCCGCCAATGTTGGGGATGTCTGCGGGTCGGTAGGGCTCGGGGATGTCTACAAAGGGGATGCCGGACTTGCAGAAGCGCTCTGCTTCTTCCGGCGGCACATCGCCCTTCTCTTCCCAGTCGAGGGCCGAGGGGAGGAGGTGCGTGTCGACGTACTGCCTGACGGCGCGCTGTAACTCGCGGTGTGTGGATGTGTAGTAGGGGGAGTGGACGCCGCGCAGCCACGCCGGCTCGCTCCAGGGAATGGATTCGTCAATGTGAAGCTTGGGATCAACGGGCATTTTGGCGGTGGAGATGCTGGAGATGTGGTTGTTTTGGTCGAGGCGATGAGAGGCCGGGGGGGGAGAGCCAGATGGCAGATGCTGGGAATAGAAGTTATATGAGGTTGGAGGAGCACAGCACCAGCTCCATTAGCCGATTTGGATACTGACTGCTGGCGGCATCCAGTCGGTAAAGCCGGAGCATCAGCCCTGTCGTGAAGCCAAGTTGGGTGCGGTTTGAGATGGGGTAGCTTGGGGTTGCCGAGGCTCGGGGTGCCGGTGCATCTTGACACGCCCATCTCCCGTCGTCTTTGGTCGCCCTGGACCCCAGATTTTGGCAGGGGCGGCCCCACAGTCGTGACTGCCAAGACCGAGCTCCATCCTGCTAGCTGCATTGGGGAACTAACAAGCGGACGTTGTAATGCGAATTGCGTACAATATTCCAAGGGGCGCTTGTTCTTCTATCTTTTATAGCTTAATTAAAGACTTGTATTAATACATATTTCTTGTATTACCTAGCTAAGATGCCAGCTGTCGTGTGACATGTTCAGAGTTCGCTTGGCTGAAAATCTGACGACAGGTAGCGAAAGCCCAGAATAATGTACTGCCAAAGGTGAAACCGGATAGTAGATGTCATTACATGTCAAACTACAGGAGAAGTCCCTACAAACTTCTACTGTCGCTCATTTTATGACAGATTGGCTCGCCTAAAAGGACTATCACTGGTGGCTGAGTTGGCGAATTTATGGTCACCCTTGAGGCATTGTGTCCCAATTAACAGCTATGGGATCTGTAGAGGTGGATTTTACCCTGGATTCTTTCATGCAGTTGTGGAAAACTTGACAAAGGACACAGGCCAGGCTTTACCTATAGATCTTGTCGACTCAAAAAGGCTCTAGGAAGATCGTTTAATTTTCCCCTTTTGACGATGGTATTCGCTTCTCCAAGTACTGAACCAAGTCGAGGCTCATTCGAGGGACATGTACATCTAAATAGATCTTGGCCTGTAGGTAATGAGTGCTGTTTGAGGCAAGGAGTATGAGACGCGACCATCTGCAACATGCAGTCAGACTTATTGCCTGCATGTGCTGACTCCGCCACTAGCATGTCTTCAAAGTTCCCCCGCCCCCAAGTATGCCTGAGCATGGGCGTGACTCTAATTATATTTGATCTCATGATGGTACTGTGGGATACTTACAATTCTAGGCCCGACTCAATTGAGTGACCCTCAATTGAATCGCGTATAAGGGGGCTCCAGCTGCCAATCTGATGATTGGGCTATTAGGCTCCAATTTAAATCGTCTTCTCTAATGTTGCATTGGGAGGATACCGCGCTGCCTAAACGCAATACCCAAAAAGTTTCACCCTTTCGAGGAGAGTCGTATGAGCAGTCATGAAATGCCTTAGCCAACCTCGGCCCCCTTTGCCTTCGCCAGTTGACAAACTAGAAAAATCACATCTGGGCATCGTTTTTTTCTTCTACTTATTCACCTGAGCTGTGTCACTGTTAAAGAATACTACCTGGATCGTTATATCATCTCTCCGGTTCCGGGAGTACGGAGGGGTCAGAGCAAGCCTTCCCGCTACCATCTCGAAATGGTTTCCACCAAGGGAGTTCCGCATCAAATGCACGGCGGCATTATCGTCTTGGACGATTGTCCTTTCCTTAACGAAGCCCGGGCTCACTCCTTCCCGGAAAGAACCAAAGTCGAACGGTGGATATGATGTCGGCTCTTCCGTGCCAGCCCCTTGGGATCTTGAATCCAGCCACGCCACCACGAGATCAACAGCTTGCTGATTCGATAAGCGATCCCACATACCATCTGTCGCTAGTATCAGAAAGGAAGGCCTGTCCGACTTAATCGTAGTCGTTGTCACAACCGGCTCGGCCGTCATATACGGTGGTGTCCTGATGCTGTATTTTGGTGGCAGGACTCCGGGGCCGCAGAATCTCCTGCTGAAGCTCTCCATTGTTTCCGAGGGCCACTTCCATCGCCCGTCCCCGAAGGCCCGTGAAACTGCGAGTCCCAGAACACGGCCGTCCTGAGTTAGGCCTTCCTCGCCTGGGTGCTCTGCATTCAACCTTGCAACTTCCGCCTCATTCCGACCAGTCTGATCTGTAGATAGTGGAACTGCTTCCCACTTGCCGTCTGGGCTCTGTTGCCCAAGAACCGCTCTGGAGTCGCCCGTACATGCCACGTGCAGTCCGCTGGTCATGGGATCGTACAGAGACAACAAAGCACATGAACCAGCAAAAGCAGGGGCAAATCTCCGCACCTTTTCTTGCAGAGACTGGTCGCTCTCGGAGGCATCCTCAGCTTTCTTGATGATGGAGTTATCGAGATCAACAAACGCTTTCATGATGGCGTCGTGGATTGTTCGTTCCGGCGTAACTTGACCGTTTGACGGTGGCTTCATTAGGCCTAGGCTTTGTTGCACGGAAGGTAGTAGGTTCTTCTCCAGAAATTCGGCTGTCTGCCAGCCTGCATGTCCATCAAATAGAGCCAGAGCAACCCATGGACTGCCATTGTGCCAGGGGAAGACGAGGCCATGGGTGAAGCGGTCTTCACACGGGCTATTAGAAGCCAGCTGAGCCCCGTCATACCTCCCAACGCCAGCCACGTTTCTAACAATGAAAGAATATGCATCTTGTGAAAGAATTCGCGTTACTTCGGCCTTCGAGGGATCGGACTCGACGAGAAGATGCTGGCCTGGTCGGCTCTCCAGAGGTGGTGCAGGATCGGTTGTAGCTAGCGACCACCAAGCGCCTATGGCAGCAAGAACAATAGCAGTCGAAACGTATCTCATAACGTTGCCAACATTGCTGCTCCCTGGGGTCGACTGCGTTCCATGTCGTTTTATGAAGCGTTGTTGTAGCGCTTGCGCTTGAAAAAGGCGGACTAGATGCGGCCGAACCCGCAGAGTGCGAAGCATTGTAAGGGGTCTTTGATTCCTTATAAATGCTTGGATGCGGCTTTCACTGACAAGTGTAGCAAGACTATAGATTATCAATCATTGCAGACAAATGATTACAAAGGATAGATAAGCTGTCGTATTGTGCTGTCGTTGCCTATAAGAGGGTTCTCGTCTCTCGAGTCTTGGTTCTGTTGTCCGGGGGATGGTAGCTCAGAATGCAATCAAAAGATTAAGCTCGTAGGCCACAAACCGGCTCGTGCGGTACTCTCTTATTATTTGCAAGCTTTGATATTAAAACCAACGGGGAAAATGGTATCCGCTATAAAGCATGCCATATCAAAAGTTGTCACGGTTGGCAGCTGTTGTCACACTGTTACACGAGGGCTACGATCACGGGACTTAGGGCAGAAGGCTCGGCCACTCCTAATATACTTAAGTAAATAGATCTTTTTGGTCAATTACGCCATGAGGCGAGCCAAGGAACTTTAGTACCAAAGACCGTTATTAGATGAATTGAGTCATGAAATTCCAAGCCGTTAGCCCCTGTCACAGCTAGCATCATTTCCTAGAGCTTCTTCTTTATTTTCCGCTCTGGGGGCTCTGCCGATGGTCGCATTAGAATTATTGAAGTACTATTACTCCGTAATATTCAGTTAATTATTATTTCTGGCTAAATAGTATTGCATTTATTTGCATCACTATCGCTATTAAATGCAGAAATCAAGCTTGTGGGGTTCCTCAACAACCAAGCTAAATTGGACTCAGGTTCAGACTCTCAGATACCCCTTACTAGAAGTCTTCTCAACTGCTGCTATCTGATTGGCCACGAACCCCCTAGCTCATTCACCATTTGACCTTGAAGCCGTTGACATGGAGTCATTGACGGTGCTCCTTCCAACTGACAGCAGTGGGGCTCTGGGGTGACAGCGGGTGAGTGCAGAAGAACGCCCCCACCTGCGGCGGTTATTGGTGTCAATAGCTCGGCACCGTCAAGTGCCTGGTTGCACACTAGGTTTGGCTGCCGAAACCATGATCCCATCCCAAAAAATACCAACTTTTAAACCTACCAGAGGTATTAAACTGAGTAGAGATTGATTGTTACTACGTGCAGCCTGGAAACCTACACCTTAAGATAGACACATCCTAAACTCCAGACCTTACCCCAGCCTGTTTTACTTCCTTCCCCGTTACCTTTCTCCCCTCTATAATTGCATAATCCGTGCCCTTGAACCTCCACAGCTTCTCGACCTCCAAACCAGCCTCGCCCATAATGCTCTTGAATTCCTCGAGCGTCCTCTCTTTTCCACCAAGCAGCATCATCAGGATGTCATTTCCAATTGACACAGGAGATGGCAGGTCTCCCAAAACGTTCTCAACGATCAAAATGCGGCTATCGGGCGCCATGGCACTCGAAATCTGATTGAGGATCTTGATGCAGTCAGCGTCGCCGTAATCGTGCAGACACCGCCGAATATAGTACACAAAAGCTTCCTTGACAGGCTGCTCGGTATGAAAATCCAATGCAACAAGCCTGGCCTGCTTGATAGGACCATCAGCTTGAGACCTGACCATCTCCAGTACGGGCTCCAAGTCTTCAAGCACACATCTCTCCATTGGCAAGCCGGTGGCCTCGACAATTGCTTCCAGCGCATGGCCCTTGCTGCCGCCGACATCTACAACAAGTGGTCGATCTGGCCACTCAGCAGCCTTGTCGACTACCCACTCGAAGCTATAGTCACCGATAATGCCGTGTCTGGTGGCCATGGCTTGCATAGCTAGCATGAAGGTCCTCTTCATCTCCGGGCTGCGGTTCATGTGCTCCCAGATGGTGAGAGAGGCATTGCCGACTGTGAAGGCGATTGGAGTGTTTTCTCTACCTATAGGCTCGCCGAGGCCAAACTTGTCAAAATAATCCGGCAGCCTGGCCAGGGTCTTGAGATGGGCATCGAAACTATATGAAACAGTCAATCAACAAACCGCGCTCCTATGAGAGACTCAGTATTGCATTGGGAGGTGTTTGAAGACGTCTTACCCCAGGCAAATGAGGGCATTAATCGGATTGCCAGACAGCAACACCTTGCTTTGTGCAGTGTGCGCAACTGTGCCCTTTTCTGTTTCTTCAAGAACACCATTTGCTACCAATGCAGACCCGAAACGAGCTGCAGAGACCATGTCAGCAAATGCCACACAAAATTAACTTGATCTATGAAGAATTTTGATGGCATACCGATCAAACCTGTTTTGGCTCCAATGCCGCTCGCCAGTTCTTGGTACGAGATGGTTCCGTTGGTAGGAATCTTGTCGAACAATCCCCACTTGATGAACAGCCTCATGGCGACAAACTTGGACAGACAGACCATTTGGTCCATTACATTGTCCAGAGGGTCTTTGAGCTTAGCAAGCAAAGAATATGTAGACTCAATAATGCCGGCATGGTCTTGCTTGGCCGTAGGATTGACACGGAGAGTGTCAGCAGAAGACAGAAGCTGCCGTGCCACAGCCTCCATTCTGTCAGCCAGAAACATGGCACTTTGTCCAGACTGCTGGGCCATTGTGAATGCTTCGAAATTCGTATGCCTGTGTCTATGCGGAAGCGCGGGAGGGGATGGGGGGAGAGAACTCTAGGGAACAAAAGCGCAAAGGGTGGAACAAAAAGATGAAGCCAGGTGATTCTCGACAAGCACGCACATGTTGGGCCGGACATTGCAGTCACCTCTTCATGTTGTTGGCCCTGTTCACTGCCTTGCAACAGGTCTCGGACACAAACCGGGTTCGGACATGGCAAACACTCCGGCCAGATATTTCGTTTAATTTAAGGCTGTAACCAACCTGCCCAACAATTACTGTGGAGAGCAAGCCGCACTTGACATATCAAAGACAAGTGTACCACAGATACTGGCATGATTCGGAGAATTCTTGACGAAGGTGAATATCGATGCGCCATGTTGGACTTGAGCACATCTTCACTAGGTGTCGTCAGCGTCAGCTGCAATGACTTACACTCGACCTGTTGTCGTGAATTGAGAGATGAGGGCTTGTGGACGGCAAATTTTCTGTCGCCGCTTAGCAAAAATTCACACTCGCTGGGGACAAACCACAATCTTCCCCAATTCCCCCAACTTTCGTCATTTCTTCCCTGTTATTTCCCAGTCAACCGACAATTATTGTTGACCGTTGTCCTCAATTATTCACTCGGCCGGAATGAACGGATCTAGTTCGGTTGGTCCTCGTGGGAGGCGTCGACCTGCGACATCCTGTGAGCCATGCTGCCGCGCTTGTAAACTTCGATGTGACAGGTCACTTCCATGCGGGAGATGTAAAGGGCAGAAAGCATGACGAAGTGTTTCTGCTGAGTTGATGCCAGACACCTTCGTTTGTTGCTACAGGAAGTGAAGGTTCATCTCTTCTGCCTGCCCAGCTCGCACAACCACCGCCACGCCACAGACACCTGCTCCTGCTCCTGCTCCTGCTCCTTCCACGCCGCTTTTGCATGATAATGTTGGACCGTTTGACGAGGTTACGGGAAGACGTGCGAGGCCCAAGGCCCTATCCGAGCAATATGCTGGTGGTTGTCGAGAAGAGCGCGGCTTGGAGGGGGCAGCAGCCCAATACAACTAGGATGATGCCGCTGCGGAACAGTCAAGATAAGGTCTGGCTCTTTGGGTGCGGCCATTGGATTACGACAATGTCGATGGAGTTAACCATGGTGCGTGAATTCTAAATAAACCCTTTCTTTTGTCTCTAATTTCTCACAATTAGTTGCAAGGTGATCTCGTCAACTGGGATATATCTCAGCTCCTCAACTTGCCCAACTTTGAATGAGGCGACGTGACGTGCACCGGCACAATAGTCGAAATGTGCTGATAGAGATGGGGTTCTGACATGCCAACTACCAACTACAAGCTCCAAGGCTACTCCCACTTCTTCTCTACATCTCGCGTGGCTGAACATTGAGGAGGCAGATGGAAAGGAGAGTTAGCCGACTGAACTGCAGTCACTCCTGCAATTCGCCCCAGCCCTCTCGATAAGGAAACCACAACACACAAATCCCGAGGCAATCTTTTGCATGGCGCCCGTTTGGTTCTTTTGTTTGTTTTTTAAGCTCTTCAAGGTGATCAGGTCTAAGTGGCCCATCTACTTGTTGGAATTATTCGCTTGTATCATTGTGACCTCGGGTATCTTTTTTGCAACCGAGTATTCGTTTCAATCATCAGCATGACTCCCACTTTCTCCGAAATCTCTTGCGAGGCGTGTTCTTCCACTGCAATGGCGACAGACGAGCCAGATTTCACTCAGGGTGGCAACAAGGGGACGATAGCAGCCAGTCAGTTTGAAGTTGCAGCCGACAATGACATCTTCAGAGGGAATCATGCCGCCCAGACTGCCAACGACCATGAACAGAATATGTCCATGAGATACGCCATGAAATACTACAGCATCGCCATAGTTTGGGCTGCTGTGATGGCTGCTCCAATCATCATGGAAGCCTACGAAACGGCAATGGTGCCAACGTTCTTTTCCTACAAGGCATTTCAGAAAATATTTGGTTACAGGAAGCCTGGCACAGACGAATATTTTATTCCGACTTATTGGCAATCTGGTATCACCATGGCTGCCTCTTTTGGTCAACTTGCTGGCCTTTATTTGGCACCTCATGTCGTCAACCATAAGGGATACCGCGTCTGCAGCGCCGCCGCATTCATCTGTGCTGGGCTCTTTCTCATGCTTGGCTTTTGGTCCATGGACACAGGTCGTGGTTTGGCTGTGTTTCTGATTGGCGAAATGTGTCTGGGCGTGCCTTGGGGCATGTTTCAAGGCATCACGCTTCCTTATGTTTCTGATATCACACCGCTCAAGCTGAAGGGCCCGGCAACGACCATGATCAATGTCTTCTGGCTTATTGGCCAGATGATTTCAGCAAGTGTCATGAGCGGTGCGTCTGCGATTGGCAGCTTGGAATGGAGTGTCAAAACCCCAATGATTATTCAATATGCTTGGCTAATTCCTCTTTTGGCTCTTGTTTTCAAGGCGCCTAACAGCCCTCTCTACCTGAGTCGAAAGGGGCAAGATGAGCAGGCTAGAGCAACTCTCCGGCGACTCAACAAGGACCCCCTGTTCAACGAAGATGGAGCCCTCGCTATGATCCGCGCAGTCAATCTTCACGAGAAGAAGACATCAACAGATATGGGGCTTACGGGATGTTTCCACGGTATCAACCTGCGACGAACGGAGATTGCTGTAGTTAGTTATGTTACGCAGCAGTGGGTTGGCACGCCTCTCATGTTTTATTCAGTCAAGGTCCTCCAGAAAGGCGGTCTATCGCAGGCTTCTTCACTGTATCTCACTATTGGCATGTACGGTCTTTGCATCATATCAACAGTGTCGTCGATGGGGGCGATGCGATTTTGGGGACGGCGAAGCTTGTGGCTTTGGGGATTATCTGGCGAAATTATGTGTCTGGGCGCCATTGGCACTTTGTCGTTTTTTCTCGACAAGCACGATGAGAAGAAGTCGGGGCTTCCCTGGGCCATTGCTACGTTCCTGATTCTATATGCGGCCATCTACAACTTTACAATCGGACCGGTTTGCTATACGATTGTGGCGGAAACGCCAGCTACTAGACTCAAGGCTGCGACCAACTCGCTTTCCCGTGCAATTTACATAGTTTTTTCCGTGGCGAACTTGTACCTCGTTCCGAACCTTTTGGAGAATGCGCCCGTTGGATGGGGTCTCGGGACCAAGGCAGCTCTGGTTTGGGCGGGCTCAGCCACGGTTTGTCTGATTTGGGCTTTCTTCCGCCTGCCAGAAACGAAGGATCGCAGCCCTGCCGAGGTCGATCTTCTATTTGAAAGGAACATCAGGGCTCGCGACTGGTCCAAGGCGGTTGTGTAAGAGGGGGACATCGTGAGGGCCGAGGGAGCAGTTGGTAATGGCGGGATTGGCGCATGCTGCATACGCACTAGCAGAAGTGTTAAAAATAGCCTATTAATGAATGTGATGAAATTTTTAGTAAAGATGATGAATCTACGTGGCCCTCGCTGGAATTTTCCATATCCATGACTTGTATAATGTATTCCTGGAGACGCGCAGAGAAGTGAAGATGGAGGCAACATTGAAATACTGAACTGTCAACTAACTCATGCTAGTAGGACCTATGCACGGACTACACCAGCCAGGGACTGTTGCAGGCACCGCCCCACATGCCAGGCATCTTCAGTTTGTTCCTCTGCATCACACCAGATCTGGACTTCATCACTTCACCGTGTTCTCTTGCCACATGATATTCATGGTACAACGCCGGAACATCGAGTCAAACCTCACATTGGATCCCTCAAAATGTCCCTCAAGCGGTACTACAAACAATGGTTCGAGACGGAAGGCGTCTCGCACATTTAACCTTTGTACGGAGTATGTGGCCGAAAGAACAAAATCCAGTCTATTAAAATATACCCTCATATGCTCAATCTATCATCCTCTATATCCCCTCCGGAAGTGTATACGGCCCTCTACTTGCGCAGCTTCAAAACAATCCACGAAGCGATTCTATACCCGGCAATAATGGAAATCATGATGCCGACATTCTGGCCCATGTTGCCAGTCGAGTAGCCGTACTGGTCCAGGACAGCCTGGCCGGCAATCTCGCAGCGATCAGCCAATGGCGACTCGTACATGCAGCGACAGCCCTCCCCGCAGGCGTACGTCCGCTCGGCAAACTCATTCACCATCATGCCCTCAAAGACGTACTTCTGGTAGTCCCAGTAGTGAAAGACGTACTTGTAAAAGGCGTTGAGAATGGTCGGGGGGACCATGAAGCCGCCGACGGACATCCAGAGGCCGTTTGCGAAGGCCACGAGCGCCAGGGAGATGACGAAGCTGGGCACGAGGGAGGACATGAAGACGACGAGCGACTCGGCGGCCAGCAGGTCGAGGAAGAGCCACATGATCCAGGTGAAGAAGGCCTTGGCCGTGGGCTGGAAGTTGGACAGCCAGTACGAGATGACGGAGAAGAGGACGGAGATGAAGAACAGGTAGGGGACGCCGATGAAGAAGTTTGCGACGACGAACTCGCCGGCGCCGTAGAGCCCGTTGCGCAGGTCCTTGACGTACTGGAGGCGGTCCTCGAGGAAGGCGGGCACGTAGGCGACGGCCATGAAGGACATGAAGGCCGACCCGAAGAAGATGGCGTTGATGAAGGGCTGGATGGACTCCTGGTCCGGCGAGAGGCGCACCCACACGGTGCCCATCATGACGGCGAGCCCCGTGTACATGGCGATGCGGATGCCGTAGGCCACGACGTCGCGGTACGACTTGATGAAGGATCGGTGCAGGAGGGTGAGGGTGAGGCGCAGGGGCGACGGCCTCCGCATCTCGGACAGGTCGAGCGGGTGCGCGGTCGCGGAGAGGTCGGCGACGAGGGCGGCCGCCTCGCGGGCCTGCGGCGACTCGAGCCACTGCGTGTGGAGGGCGTCGAGGCGCGCCGACGCCCTGGCGGTATCGTGCGAGAAGTCGAGGTTGACGAGCTCGAGGAGGAACTCGGCCGGGTTGGTGTAGTTGGGGACGGCGGCGCCGAGGGCGCGAAAGTGCGGCACGACGGCGGCGACGGGCCCGCAGAAGTGCGTCTTGCCGGCCGACAGGAGCACCAGCCGGTCGAAGAGGTTGAAGGTGGCCGTGGACGGCTGGTGGATGGAGCAGACGACGATGAGGGCGTGGCGCCGGGCCACGGCGCGCAGGTAGCTCACGACCTCGCGCGAGGCGGCCGAGTCGAGGCCCGAGGTGGGCTCGTCGAGGAACAGGATGCGCGGGCTGGTGATGAGCTGGCTGGCCACGCCGATGCGGCGCTTCTGCCCGCCCGATATGCCCTTGCGGATGGGCGTGCCGATGAGCGTCGACGCCTGCGCCGTGAGCCCGAAGGAGGCCAGGAGGGAGTCGATGCGGAGGATGCGTTCTTTCCGGGGGAGCGAGCTGTGGCTTTCATGTCAGCCCTTGTGTCTTTTGGTGTTGAGGAGGGGGGAACAACCTCGTGCTGGCGAGACGGGAGGAAAACTCGAGCGTCTCCCGCACCGTCAGTGAGCCGATCAGCGCGTCTTCTTGTTCCACGAAGCAGGTCAGTTGGCGAAAGGCCGATTGCGACACTTGATTGCCGTTGATGAGCACCTTGGCCTGGACGTCGCTTGCGTTGGTTGGCCGGCGTGCGAGGACGTTGAGCAGCGTCGTCTTGCCGCAGCCCGAGGGGCCCATGAGGGCGCAGATTTCGCCTGGCCAGAGGTGTTAGTATGTGAAGACTGTCTTGTAGATAGGGGATGACGTTGGAAGCGTTGTATATGTATATATCCATGCTATGAGTTTATACATGTGTGTTTGTGTGTGTGTGCATGCGTATATAGGTATGGATGTGTATAACGTGTGCACATATGAGGACGCATGTATGCATGTATACACATCCGTGTGTATACGCCAATGTATACACGCATCTCTGACCGTATATGTGACGAGCAAACAAAGGCCTCAAACTCACCAGCCTGGACTGCGCCCGCCGCGTCGTCCACAATCTTCTTCGGCTTCTTCGTCTCCCTGTCCTTGACGGTGACGGTGACCCCGCTCCAGGTGATGTTCTTGACGGTCGAGTTGTCCAGATGCCTGTCCGCGACGGGCTGCTGCTCCGGGTCCGTCTTGATGCCGACCGGCGGGGGATCGGGCTTCTCGCAACCCATCGCCTGTTGGGCCATGTCTGCGTCGACGTATTTTATACGTCCTTTTTTTCCCGTCTTCCTCTTCCCACGAAAAACAAAACGAGCAGGATTCCGGGTATACGCTTTTGGAAAAGAGAAAAAGAGGATTCGGGCAGGAGGCGGGGAAGACACCAGCTCTTTGTATTGGGAGTGCAAAGCTGGTAGGCGAGACGCAGGCTGTAGGCAGGGATCCTGGCGGACCCGTGAGCAATATATGCAGCGCGATGTCAGTTTTGGTACGACGGTTGGTGTACGACGTCGAAGAGGGGGGGGAGATGGCCGAAATTAGGAAATTATTGCTCCTTGGACATTGGTATAACGTGGCGGCGAGAGAAAGTGCCATATTTATATACATGCGATCCCCCATCCGTCCGTCCACCCATCCGCCTATCTTTTGATAGATGATACATACGCTGGCAGAGCCCGAGGACGTATCTCCATACACAGCTCTGCGCGTGCGGCTGCCGTGGTGGATACATCATACGTCAAAGTACTGTATGTACATGTAACGGTTTGCGACCCGCGAGGCGAGTGGCAGAGTTTTGGTCCCCGGCTGCCCGAACTGCCATACTTTACTATGCGATCCCAGCGCGCCCGAGGGCCCGTGGCAGCGCCGCGTTGCGCTAGCATACAGAATCGACGTGACGTGCCATCTGTCAAAATGTTTGCTTGCCCGCCTGAGGCTTCAGCCTGTCGTGTCGGGTTGCGCCTCGTCGGGGATCCGGGGTCCACCGTGTGCGGACCCATCGATTTTTTGATAACGTCAATTACTCCGCACTCCCAGATGCGTCTCAACTGGCTGGTGCCTTGGCATTTTAGATTTTGGCCGTGGCTTCTGACACCTAGTGAAAACTGGCGGGGCAAATTGCCCTATTGGCTGCGCCGTGGCCGTTGGCCCACCCCGCCGTGCTACGGAGTACACCTCTGCTCTCTGCCAAGTTGAAATTCGGGAGCCTCCCTAGCCTTGGTCGCCGACGACTGACGTCTGCATACCAACATTACACATATGCTGGCGGCTTGCCACTGCCGTTGCCAGGTCGCCGTCTTTGTCAGGCTTGCTTAGCTTTTTTTCTTTCATCTCCTCGTCTCAGCTGTACGGAGTACGCAAACGCCTCCCTTCCGCCCGCCAAGCTAGAGCCCAGCAGCAGCAGTCTGCGCTCTGTCCTCTCGTTCGCCGCCACCAATGCCTCTTCATAGTCAACCAAGCAACACGCTCGACGGCCGACTCCGTAAGTATGCGGCGCGTATCGGCCCTCGTCCATGGTCGCCGAACCATCATCAACTACTCCGTACTCGTTCTAGTATCCAAAAGGTCGGCGGCCAAGACCCGCCCTGCCGCCTAACCCACGTGGGAGATGTCAAGACGTTGTGTGAAACCGGCACACCTGCGCGTCCATCGTCCCCTCCCGAACCCCCCCCCCCCCCCCCCCCTGAGATCGCGCAGCCTAGCTGCTGATCCGATCCGATCCATTGGGAGACGGCCAACCTCACAAGGATGCACGCATGTAGCCATGTTGACATGACAGCATGTACATAGGCCTACAGGGCTGTAGGGCTGTAGGGCTGCAGACAGCACCTTGACCGTTGTTTCCCGCATCCCCCCTCCCTCCCCCTTTGCTCTATGCTCCGTGCACATTCATCACGGGATTTAAATCTCCGAGCCTGTGGTTACTCCGTATCCTGAGTCTGTCTCACGTCTCCCCATGTGCTACAGTAAACGAGGACAAAAAGAGACGCATCCACCTCAAGCAACGACTGCGGAGCAAGCAAGCAAGCACCTGAGCACCACAAGTTCCAATGATACCTACCGAGTAGGCTGGCCCAAAAATGCCGAGGACCCCTTATCAAGTTACCTGAAAGCCACTCATGTTTATTCAGACGATGCTTTGAAACCCATTGTATTCATGCCATATATTTCAATTCCGATTGGCCAACTGTGTCACCTAAACATGATTCGGTCCGAAAATACCACTCAAATAACTAGATGTGAATACATAAAAGAATAGCTTTTGCATAGTGTTGTAACATGTTGCGCCGCACGCCGCATCGCGCCGCCTTGACCTCGAAAACCCTTCCTTTGTCTGTCCAGTCATCATTGCCTTCCTGCTTCACCCCAGGAGATTGGGTATTGGCTCGAAATTTTCAATTTCGTTGATAATCGAATCGTCCGTGGCAATCGTATTCAGCATTTCCTCCTGGGAAAGTCCCAGCCAGAACTGTGAATTAGACCGCTGCTGCTTCTTCACCTTGTAAATTTCCTGTGCTACCGCCTTCACCTGTCCACGGGCACGGTCAGCGGCTCCCCAGACCTCAGAGAGGCGGTTCAGTGCCCCAATATTTAGGCGAATTTGCTGCCGAAGGTCGTCGTCGTCGTGAGGTATGAAGAACAAAGCCCACCTGCTCAGATGGACAATCGATGACAGCGTGATAACGCATGTGAAAAAGTGAGTATGCGAAAGCAACGATACGCGGTGGGTTATCATTGTACTGATGCTGTTGGCAGATTCGATAGTATGTCTGGTATGTGAATTGAATAAGTCGCCGGCAGGGATAGCCTGATGAGGAGCACATGAGTTGATATCTTGGGTTGGAGATGAGTCCAGTTGAGAGTGTGGCTGATGAAGCATGATGGAAGTAGCTTGATTCATCATGTGTGCCTGAAACATCATTTCGTCCAGCTGTCCATTCTTTTGCAAAGCGTCTCGTTTCGACTGCGGCAGATGAAGCCGCCAGTTTGTGAGAAGTGTTTCGATCTTCCCCAGATTTTCGTCTTCCGGTCCAAAGATAGGAGGGGCTCGCATCAATTTTCCTAAATTCCGAGCACACAGTACTCGATATGCGAAGGATGAAAATTCGCGGTCTTCTCCAGAAAAGTCTTGATCTTCAAGGTCGTCCAAGTACAGAGGGATAGGTATTCGCTACAGCTCCTGGTTAGCTCGAATGAAGGCAGAGAGCTTTAAAGGGGATATGAAAGCAAAAGGGAACAAACTGCGCACTCACGCCGGACATATATTGGTCTTCTTCGCAGGGTAGTGCGGCTCTAGCCGTGACATCAAACAGGAGAAAATTAGTTGCACGGTGGACGCCAGCAACCATTCCGTCAATGACAAATAAGTCCCACCAAGTGCGTCGCCAGCTTTCCTCCAGTACGGGAATGCCACGCCCGTGGTTTGCAGCGAATTCTCGCGTGTTCAGTCCCAGTTCCAGCGCAAAGGTCTCCGCTTCGCTCAAAATACTCCTTGCCCTGTCCTGCTGACAACTTCCGTCAAGACCAACAATGAGGAGCATCATAGCTTGAACTAGAAACCCGTCCTTGGACCGATTGGGGCCGCATATGAGGCTGAATGCTTCATTAAACAGTCGTTCTCGAGTAGGGCTACCAACATCGAGGAAAATAGACCCGATCCATCTCATTGCTGCTAATACTGGTTTCAAAGAGGCCTCCTTCGATATGTGCGAAAGGAAGTTCGGGGGCAGGACGAACGGATGAGAGGCATGAAAGTGGTGGTAGAACGAATCGAAGCATCGTTCCTCTGTGGTAGGAACAGGGATGTGCATAGTAAGTCGACTTCCGTTCTGGTTTGCTGCCCACGGCGAAGGTTCTATTCCATTAACTGCACAATAAGACTTGTACAGCTGCATGTTAGTAGGCGGCTGCGCCTGGGGGAATTGAGTGGCCTGGGTATCTTGCGCAGGAATACCCGGCGGACCAAACGTGCTGCCCATAACCGTGGGCATATTAGCCGACCCGGTTCGTGCTCCGAGTAGCATTGGACAATCCGAACTGCTTGGGCTTAGGTCAGGGGGCGACGTGGCCTGTCTCTTGTTGGGGTTCTGAACTGTGCCACGACGAGGGCCTTTGTATCCTCTCCTGGAAGCAACATAGACACATTCATTCTGTGTATTGACACAACGGGCACATGGTGTTTGCCCATCGCATTTGAGATGTTTGCTGCGCTAATAGTGTAAAACGATTAGCATAGGTGGTCAACGCGGGAGGCTTATAGGAATGCGCCGTTGAGGAAGTTGCAAAGTGGGAAACAAATGCTTCAAGCCCACAAAAGGGCAGTCCAATACGAGGCAGAAAGGGTCATGGGAACTTACGCATGCCAGGCAAGCGGCGGGCACAGTTGATTCTCGCGAGCGTCCGTCATTGCTCATATCAGGAGGTGTGCTCTTCTCCGCATCTGCAACACCAGCAGCGGGGGTTGTGCTTTGTGCCTGAGAGCTAGGCGATGATGCGGAAGACATGGAAGCTGCCCGGTTTTGGAACGCTGAAAAAGAGCTGCCATCCGGCTCGGAAACTGAAGGGTTGACAGCCATAACCACGCCGTTGGATCTAAAACTCAGGATCCTGGTGCTAGAGAGCAATCGTACAGGAAGAATCAAGAATATCCACAAGCTCACGACCCACACGTGTCGAAGGTGTTGAAGTTGCCAAAGGCGTCGTAGGCTGGGTGATTAGTGTCAAAAGAGGAGACGAGTGAGCGATAGACGAACGAAAGGATGGGATTTCCTACTAGTCCGGATCGTCTGCTTTGTGGTTTCCTACGGGCTGGGTGCTGCCACAAAGAGTAAGGCTCCCACAAAGTGTCGATCCAAGGTTGTGATGGGTGGGGAAGGTTTGGCGGCAGCAAAGAAGCAATTTTGTGGCGGCGGAGTCTCAACTATAGTAGACATTTGTGCATCATTGCATTACAGCATCATCATGCTTGTCCCCCCAAAAATGCGAGCGGTTGTGTCCTTGTCTTGGCCGTTTTGGATGTGTTCATGTGGAATGTCCAGGCCGTGTAGGTTGTTCTCTGGCTTTGCCATAAACTTGGAATCGTGGCCACCTGGCTTGATCTATGGCCCAGGAACGCGTCGTACGGGGTGTTGAGTTCTCTATTTATTATTGTGTGAGTGAGAGGGTTGGGCAAAGGCTGGCTTGGCTGCTCACCGGCTGGTGAAGGGCCAGGCGTCTCCATACCATGTCCTGGACTCCTGGGATTCCGGGC